AAAATTTATTTTTTATGAAAATTTAAAAAATTAAAATGATGATATCAAATTTCTGACTTCACCATACCATTTATATGCCCATGTTAACATGGGCTAGTGTCGGCTCATATACCCATTTACCTAACACCCTGTATAAGGTTATTTTTTTAACTGATCATATTTTACCAACACATCCTATTACCCCCTATTGGGTTAGTAGTAGTTTCGCACGATTTTCCTTCGCACGAATATGCGAAACGTCCCCTTTCAATAATATTTTTTTTTTAGTAGGCGTTTCGCCCGGATGTATTAGATTAGAAGTATTAAAATCGCGTGCGAATCGATTCTTTTTTGAACTAGTTGTATGCGATTACTAGTTCTCAAAGGGGTCGATTCGCACCCGTTCGATTGTGAAAACCAAACTTATATAATATTTACTGTAAGTAAATGCTAAATAGTAAATTTATATTAGTTTGGATTGTGAATATCCTATCCTACTATAATATTAAAAAGGCGAAAGTTCGGATGTCTGGATGTCATGATGTCTGGATGTTTGATATATTTTTAGATCTCAAATAGGTACTCGACGCACAGTGGTGCTACAGCTTTGGTGCCATAGTAACAAATGCTAAGGCGGACGTATTCTGTCAGAATACAGCACTTTTTTTTTATTGGCCGACACTTTTGATTTTGAACAAAAAATGTATGAATAGTCGATGACTTTTAGATCTCAAATACTCGACGCACAGTGGAACTACGGCTTTGGTGCCATAGTAACAAATGCTAAGGCAGACGTATTCTGTCAGAATACATCACTTTTTTTTGTTGGCCGGCACTTTTGATTTTGGACCAAAAATATTATATGAAACGTGGATGATGTCCTTTGTCCAGTTATAACTCCATTTACATCTGCATCTGTAAACAAGGGTTCATGTTCTCCAGCCCAGATGCCGAGTAAACAGAATCGTCTTTCAGTGACGTGCAGCTGCCCCTATATTTGACCCACTGACCTAATTTTTTATTATTTATTTGTATCAGTGTGCTCTTCTAATAAGTGTAAGACGATTGTATGTAGGTACTATTAATATGTAATTTTAACTCATTGGTTTTGTCTCATATTTAAGGAATTTACTATGTATCATGAGTAGAGTCTTCGTTTAAAAGGATGCGAACGATTTAAATNAGAATCTCAAATCGTTTATTTTAAAAATAAAACCATTATTAGAAAACGAATAGAGGTAACTTTGGGAATTTATTCTATCGAGTCAACTTCATCAAATCGTGTTTCCATCCGTTAATAGCCCTAGAAAATATCCTCAACTATGCCCAATAAAAATCTTAGCCTTTAATTTTACTGTTTAGTACCTCAAAAATGAAAAATGAAAACCTCATTTTCGCCATTTTCTCTGCTACCCGGCCTTAACGGCTGTAGCCGTTAGGAGCCCTTTGATGGCGACGTAAAAGACATCCCTTGAGATCCTGACGGAGCTATTTTCAAACAGATTTTATCCTTACAATGCCTACCTCAAGGAAACAGTGAGGCGTGATATCTTACAGGGACGAGTTTTAATTCCTGGTCAAATGAAGTTAAAATTTGGACTGTTCTTAATTGCCGCCTGGCAATATTAGGCAAGGGAAGGGAGGAAAGAATCACCTGCGTGCCTATTCACTATGCAGGTGAGTCTAGCTAGAGTCTGTAGTTGTAAGACGCAGAAAATCAGTTAAATATTTAGGTCCAAGTTTCGGAAAGGAGGTTATCCGTTTATCAGGAAAACGAGCCTATCTATTCTTAAACAGGACGAAGAAACTCGGAGGTTCCGAGAAGGTGAAAATTGACAGCAAACCGTCCGTCCGCGCCGAAAGAATCTTCACTCTCATTTTCTTTAGATTTAAAGCAAAGTTGCAAGAACTTTACGTACAATTAAATGCGGTTGAAACATTGTTAAACAAATAAAATAAATAAATAAACTTGCGTATCGTTCTAGCTACATGCTCAATTAAACATTACAATGAAAATACTGAGGCGGTGCCTGTTAAATTTTGGAGCTAAGAGCTAAATTGTAAATGTGTGTTATGTCTACTACATAGCAGACAGTTACGCATTAAATATTCACCCGCTGGTAAGCATAAGCGCATCTATTCGTAAAATAAGCAGTAGAATATAGCAAGTACCTATACAAAATATGACATGCAACCAGACTGAGTACAAGTACAGGGTATAAATCATCTAAAAATGAGCTTAAAGATATCATGAATCAGTTTTCCATAGCAGTCAGTCAACCAGTTCATGCATTCGTAACAAGGGGGTTGAGGAACTGAGCTCTCGGTGTACTCAGTACTTCCTAGTCATAAAGGCCATCTGTTTCCGGCACTGGCAGACATTCCGCCAATTAAACATTCATCTGCAAAGGAGCATGAACTTCGAGTCCGGCCATAGCTTTAAGCTTCTACATATAGACAAAGCACAATAGGGATCAGGACAGGGATGAACGGAGCGTGCATTGAGGTGTGTTATATCCTATCCGGAAGGGAAGGAATATTGAGTTAACGAAGCGAAAAATGTGGTATAACATGACCTGTCCTGTGAGTAGTGGTCGACTTAATATGCATTAAGTAGAAGATTGAAGTACTTGGATGCCATGGCAAATTAAAATTCTCCATAAAGCACAAGGACAGAAATTAGTAATGGCGCCAGTTCTATAGTACGAAGGCCAAAAAATATGTTAATCATTGTAATTAGCACTTTAGCAGCTCTAACAACTGTTATGGCTCCATTAAGGCCTCTCGAGGCAGCTTCATTTAATATAAATGAGAGTAAATAAAATGTAAATTTCCGATCGTGAAAGTGTCCCGCACGGCGCGGGTGAGCGAGCGCTTGGCCCGCGGCCAGCGCCCTATTGCAGATGGACAATGGACTCGCTGACTACCCGCCACTTTTCACCTCTATGGTGATGGTGAGTGACAAAGGAAAGTAGTATAGAGAACTAGAAGTAAGCGTGACTTTCATATTCGGTTCTATGGTGAATAGTCACAGAAATAAACTACGCAATGCTTTTGGCAATATCAAAGAATCAAAGTCATGGCAATAATATGATAGTGACTGCGACGAATCTTTGATCCCCGATTTTTTTTTGTTGTATTTTTTCACTCGCTAAGCCAGTAAGTAACGGGCATTGACAACATTTCAGTAGTTTCCCTTGGGTTTGCCTGAACAAGGAAGACTGAAAGCCACTTGGCCGCATTCGAGAACAATTCCCCGTGGTGGCTCTTGAAAATGACAATTTATACGACAGCACTTCTGAGAAATAAAATAAGTAGAAATGCAAGACGATTTTAAGCCATTATTAATTTACGAGTAGCACATGCAAATGAAAAAAATGATGTGTCTCTTTTTCTCTAGCCGTTACTGTAGGTAGAAAATGGTTCTGTTTGAAAATCAACTTACCTAGTTATTATTTTCATCATACTGGATTTATCGTATTGTATTATAGTCTACTAATGGCAAGGTAACAACAATTTCTATTTCTAAGCGATTATTATGTACGAATTCATGTGTAATCTTACATCATAATTATGTAAACTAATGTGAAAACAGCATAATTACGAAAACAATTTTTTTGCCCCGTCATTCCTTTGGCGGGTGGTCGTTAATTTGCTAAAAGCGCGGGCTGAGAGCGCAGAGCACACACGGTGGACGCCCGCAAATACAATTACTCCGAAACTAGCAAGAGAATCCAAAGAGGTATCTTTCGGAGTTTGATGCAGTCGCAAAATAATCTAATTAGAATCAGTTGCCTTTCAAATGCAGAAGAACTAAAAATTTAAAACTAAATCGAACATTATCGCCCATAGATTTGAATCCCTGAGGTTTTGAGCTATTTTGAGCTATACATTTGAAAAGTTACACCGGATGAACACTGGATTAAAATGACATTTCCATACTAAATGACAATTTAAACCAGAGTTAAACTAGGGTGTTACTTTTATAAGGGGGTTGAAGTGTAAGATTTTACCTGCAAGTAGATTTTGTCAAAATGTCGCTTCAAAAATTATGAAGAGGCAGTAAACTCGATTCACACGATTTCCGAGAAAAAAATTACAACACAAACACGTACTGTACGTTAGTAAAGGAATAAGTTTGTGGCCGTTAGGACAAGCGGTTTTACTGCCGAATGCATTTAAGGATCTCAGTGTGATGTGAATCAGGGCTCCACTCGCCTTAGGCTCATCAATTAGTTGCATGCAAGCCACTACTGTACAGTAACCATTACTCTCAGGGGTAATCCGGGTATTTGCAACCAACGTCTAGCTCATAAACCCGCCACGAATCTGAAGATTATAGGATCTGCGACGAAAATTAATAGCATAGATGACTATACTGTAGTAGAGATAGTTTAATGACATTTCACTAGGCAAAGCAAACAAAACGCAATAAATATTACTGGCTCTTTAGATAATACATCATGAAATTCTATCTGCATCTCTAGCTAGACAAAACATCGACAGAAATTCGTTTAATCACAAACATGTAGGTAATGCTTTATTTGTGACATTTTCAATTTTCCCAATGTGCGTCCCTAACAAAATACTCGTAAGTAAATTTCAAGATTGAGATTTTAGAGATACATGGTAGAAAAACCAAACCTAAGTAAGAATGATATAAATAACTTTTAGTCACAAAACAGTAATAGATCATTGTTATCCGTAATTGAAATAGTTGTCCAATACGACCGGTGTTTTGTTTGTCGGGCAGTTGCGCTATTAATATTATTTATTAGACAATACTAACAAGCTCCTATAAATCATTGTTCGGCCTTTATGACCTGTCTAAAGCTAACAAAGGACCGCGTAAGCAATATTAGTAAATCAAGTCATAATCAAATAATATCAAAATGCTTTAACAAATAAACATAACTTTTGGTGGCCTTAACAAACTTGAAAGAAAGTTATCTGTTACCTACGTTACGTGCTACGTTTTAAAATGATACTAATAAGATCTTCTGAAAGGTAAATTATAATACCTGAGAACTGCGAGACACTGGACAGCATGGAGAGTCCCGAGTGCCTGCTGTGGGACGGGTGGATCATCCCGATGGAGCATATCTCCGCGGTCTCGTCGAACTGCCACATGCCGGGCTCGAAACTTATGCTCAGCTTTTGTACTTGCAAGCCAAGAAACATCAATGTCCAAACGGCTTTAGCACATCGGATCTTCCTTTTGTGATGTTATTTACAACGAATACAAAGGATGCTCACTTGATTGAGAGAAGATTTAATTTATTTAGTATAGAATCACGTTTTACGTAAGTTTATGCTGAAGTTATGGTTACTTTAATTGGTTGTTATCACATAGAGGATTAAAGCGATCATATTTAGTGATGCGTGAAGATATGCATGGATTGTAGCGGCGTGCACACGGCGCGGCGGCTGCGGCGCGACTGCCCGCCCCACTACCCACTACCACCCTCTCGGTGGAAGGGGTGGGACTCGGGTGGGGGTGGGTAGCGCGTGGGGTAACAACGTCAGGGGATGCCTCGCCAATGATGGCAGCGGGATATCAGTCGCTATTCATTAATTATTTGTTTGAATAAAGTTAAAAACAAAATTATAGCATGATGGAAACAGTTTTGAAAACCAGAGGTCGAATCGATGTGCTAGATGCAGGGCGCGCCTCTTGTTTTACTGCGTGGTCCCGCGCGTGGGAATGACCCAATGGAAAATAGGTTACAGATTTATAATATGCTCACTATCAGATGTTAAACTGGGGGTGGCTAGCACAAGTAGGTCAAAAGTTCAAGCTGCTATAGTGCAAGTAATTAATTAATTATTAGAACACTAAAGAAAGCTTATGGTATTCCAGTTAGACAGCCAGTAAAACAAAAAAAAAATACTAACATTAGAATAGAATAGTTTATTTCAAAGAAATTATGTAAACTGTGACTGTAAATCAGTTTTGTTGTTACATTCATGGCCACAATTTAATTTTGATTAGATTTTAAGATTAACTAGATTTATGTTCATATAATGTCCATCCATACCAAGTACATGCTGGCAGCATTGGTTATTGTTGAAATCCTTCTGGGCGGACTTTGTCCAACAGTGAACATCGTTTGGATGAAAAGGGAAGGTAAGATGTAAGTACATGAGCAATTCAGGTAAATAAGTTGTCACCAAAACAGACTCAGGCATATAGGCAGGCATTTTAGATATATGGATAAATAAATGATACAAAAGGACATTGTCAGAAACCGCCTAAAAAACCGCCCAAAAACATTAACCCATCATAATTATTTTCTATTTTTTTTAATACATTAAGCACCCTTTCATTCTAATGGACACTTAAGCATTGAAAAATGAAATAAATAAGTCTTTTAACGTTTATTCTATAATACTATTACAACTTCCGGACGTTTTGGTGCGTGGCATGGTCTAAAACCTATCAAGTTCCATAATTTTTGCCGATAAAATCTGTACGAGGCATTACCGTACTTTATTGCTGGGAGTCCATGTATAGTGATGTTCCTGCGGCCATCATAGACAATAAAATATCGATTTTGAAAATAAAATAAATCGTAGTGTCCGACCGAATGTTCGGTTTCGGTTTCGTTTTCGGTTGAGTTTCGGTAAAAACACGAGTTTCGGTTTAGTTTCGTTTTCGGCGGCAAACTTGCCGAAACTACGACCGAAACCGAATGTGCATTCGGGAGTTTCCGCACTGTTATCGGTCATGTTCGGCTCGTTGAATGAGTGAATGAATCCGATCAGAGCCAATGTCGTGATTCGCTCGCTTGTTTGTTTGCTTGGAGATGCAGATTTTCCTCAAGACTACTCCCGCTACCTCAAGGGCGAGCGCATGCAGCGGGTACCGGCTCTGAGGCTAAGGCTGGTTTTAGTCTGGCTGGACAGTCCACGTGACACTAAAACCAGCTTACGTGGAGGCCCCTAGAGTAATAATCTTTAACGTGACATGTGTGTCAAAAAAAATGCACTATTGAGTAATTAATATCAATTTTGAAGTAAATCACCATCAAAATAACTTTCTACCCCTTTTTAACATAGTTTCACTAAAATTTCACTAAAATACGAAACACGTCTTCCATTAATTCTGTTATAGGAATGTTTATGCAAAATTTGAAGTACATAGATTAGACGAAGGAATCTCGTTATCCCATATAAACTTTGCCCCCCTTTTTACCTCCTTAGGGGTAGAATTTTGGAAAATCCTTTCTTATCAGATGCTTACATCATACAAAGAACACATCCTCCAAGTTTCAGGTCTCTACGACTTATACCTATTGTGATTGTGATTGTGATATTAGTAACTTTGTGATTTAAAGTGAAATCTATGTGATTTTAAGAGAAAACAATAAAGTCTGACTGATTATAATAACGTTTTCTTTCTTTTTCCCTCAAAATATGAGCCTTGTAAGGAAGTTTCGGTTTCGGTTTCGGTTTCGGCCGAAATAGACACCGTTGCCGAAATTCGGTTTCGGTTTCGGTCGTAAAACTAGTTTCGGTCGGACACTACGTATGGATAACACTGTTGTTACGAACGGCCTCCTTTTAATAGTCTATGTTTTTATAATTTTATTTTTTACTATGATTTGTCTGCTTGTCAGCTGTCTGTTTGGTTCGATATCCCTGTGATCCTGTATCTTCCTTGATTCCTTAATATAGCGCTTTCCCTGAGCCCGGGTATCATTTTCACTCCTTTTTATCCTAATTCCTAACAACTGTCACCAGAATTAAAAAGGGCCTATGTCGATGAGGATGGGAACTTCGAGATAAACGGCTACTAATTGGAGGAAACACAACAACAAGCCCCCGCGACTGAATCCCTCTCAGCTCTCACAAGTCACAAGTCTTAGAGAGTTTTGTGGAAATGAGGAGGGACATACCGAGATCTCAGAACTTGAAGAACTTGTCGGACAGGTTTGTTCTAGAAAAATTTACAAAAAAGACATCAAATGGAATACAATGGATGACTGCTTTTGAAACAGAATTTTTAAATTTCGATAATCTCCCTATTTAGGGGTCCAAAATTGGGTTCTTCTTGTTCATAAATGGAGTCTGAGTGAGGGTATTTTTTTCTACCTATATTTTATCGCAGCTAGTAGTAATCTCAGTTTAAACATAAAATACTTTTAAAGAAAACGTATCTTGATTAACTTTCAAATCCCTGTCATCGTGTAATGTGAAATGTGCAAATTACAAAGTAAAAACGAAAAAAAAAACTGCTTATACTGTCCATAATTGGTGAATTTACCTTACGGGAATATTTTAATGAAGGTGATGCCTTCGTATTGGATAGAGGTTTCCGTGATTCTTTACCTTTATTACACCAATCTTCTAAATATATAAAAGGAGAAACTGACTGACTGACTGACAGATCAACGCACAGCCTAAACGGCTAAACGTAGGCACTTGAAATTTGGAAGGGACGTAGCTTAGGTACCGTAGAGGTGCACTAAGAAAGGAATTCCCGAAATTCCCACGGGAACGGGAATTAGCGGGAAAAACGGGATTCACGCGTACGAAGTCGCGGGCGGCCGCTAGTGTGGTTATAGGTCTTACGTGCTTGCATCATTACAGGAGGGTGCAACTCAGCTTTCTACAGCTGATGCATATAAGTCGAGAGCAGTCACCATATACCGTTGGGCTGTTGAGGTTGTTAACGGGAGATTAAAAAGAGATTTTAAGTTATTACGTCAAAACTATTTTAAAATAGCGAATAGAAGTTTTATGAAAGATTTTGCTTCTCTTTTAAATATGNGCTCTCACAAGTGTCTTAGAGAGTTTTGTGGAAATGAGGAGGGACATACCGAGATCTCAGAACTTGAAGAACTTGTCGGAAAGGTTTGTCCTAGAAAAATTTACAAAAAAGACATCAAATGGAATACAATGGATGACTGCTTTTGAAACAGAATGTGCTCGTCTGGGAATTGAAGAAGATATCAGCAAAATTGAAACATTGAAGTTATTTTTGGAAGACTCGTGTCTAGATTGGTATAGTTCTATGCTTATGAAACATACTGTGATTTCAGATTGGTTGATTTGGAAGAAGAGTTTTTGTGATACTTACGTGGACAAGGGTTGGTCTCCGGTCAGGTATGCAATGTTATTTAAATATAGACAGGGCTCACTACTGGACTATGCTTTGAGGAAAGAAAAACTTTTATTGGAGGTAAATAAAACTATAGATAAACCTACTTTGATTGATCTCATCGCTACAGGACTTCCAAATTTTATAGCAGATAAAATTGATAGAGGGAGCTTAAAAAATGTTGAGGATTTATTTAATAACATTAGAGGCTTGGAACATTTAGTAAATAAAAGGGCGTTTGACAAAACAACAAATTTGGAAAATAATATCAAAGATAAAAATACAAGGGAACGGCCATGTAGGATTTGTGAAAAAGAAAACAAAGGAAGTCGGTATCATCCTGAATCTGTATGTTGGTTTAAAAATAAAGAAAATAACCTGGGCCCCAAGTCTGCTATTTTTAATTAAATGACAAGCTATTGTTATTCAATTGATATTCAATTACGATTCCATTACGATTGAGACAAANAAATAACCAGTTTAAGAGAGAGCAAATTAGGAGTGTCAATAACTCAGAATTAGAGATTGAATTAAATGAGATAGATTCAAAAAACTAGATATTCCACCATTAATCAAAACTAAAATAATTATAAATGACACCATACATACTTTAGGAATTTATGATTCAGGTTCGAATGTATCTTTAATAAGTTCCAGGTTATTATCTTTAAAAGGTGACTCATTTGATAGTTATAATAATAAAACAAATTTAAAAACGATTAATGGTGTAAAAAAACCTATTGGTATGGTAAACTTAAAATTAAAGATTTTTGAAATTGAAAAGAATATGAATGTTTTTGTCATAAATAAAGAAAACTTTGACTATGATTTTTTAATTGGATTAGATTGCATAAAACAGTTTAAGCTAATTCAAAATGAAAATTTAGAAGTTACTCAAAAAATAAATATAATAAATGGAATTGAGAATCCGAGCACTATTGTGGAGACTGAAAATGATGATTGTAAAATTAACTTTAATGAACACATACAAATAGAAAACTTTAACATTTCAGTTAATCATTTAAATGTCGATGAAAAATTGGAAATAGACAGATTGATAGAGAAATATGGATCACTTTTTGCTAAAGATAAATATGATATAGGTACAGTGAATGGTTATGAAGCACATATTGATTTATTGGTTGATAAATACTGTAGTAAAAGACCATATAGATGTAATATTGAGGATAGAAAAGAAATAGAAGAACAAGTGTCAAAATTACTAAAAAAAAACCTAATTGAGGAATCTTATAGTCCTTTTGCAGCCCCAGTAACGTTAGCGTATAAGAGAGATGAAGGGAGAAGGTCGAGATTGTGCATAGATTTTCGCGACCTAAATAAAATTGTAATTCCCCAATGTCAACCTTTTCCACTTATCGATGATTTGGTGGCAAAAACAAGGAACTGTCATTTTTTTTCAACGCTTGACATAAACTCTGCATTTTGGTCCATTCCTTTAAAAATTGAAGATAGAAAGAAAACAGCATTTGTTACCCAAGATAGTCATTATCAGTGGACCTGCTTACCGTTCGGATTAAAAACTTCACCAGCTATTTTCCAAAGAATACTCAGCAATATCATTAGGAAGCATGGTTTATCAGATTTTGCTGTCAATTTTGTCGATGACATTTTGATTTTTTCCCGGACATTTTCTGAACATATTTTACATTTATCTTTGTTAATGGAAGCAATTAATAAAGAGGGATTTAGACTAAAATTCTCTAAGTGTAGTTTTGCTCAAGAATCTGTAAAATACTTAGGTCATATAATAGGAAATAACTCTATTACTCCACTAAAGGATAATTTAATTGCTATAAAAGATTTCCCTGTACCAATGACACAAAAAAATGTCAGACAATTTTTGGGAAAAATTAATTTTTATGGAAAGTATATACCTAATATATCAATTAGAGATGAAACGGATATCCGGCAACTATCCGGTAGGCCGGATATCCGGCCCTAATTTACTATCCGGCCGGATACCGGATAGTAACTCACTATCCGGCCGGATACCGGATATTAAAAAAAACGACAATTTCCTATTAATAAAATGAAATACATTAATATTTGAGGTAAATATCAATAAAATGGCTTACAATAATGATGGCTTTTATTTAAAGTCCAAAATTTACAAAAAAGCCATATTAAGGCCTTTTTAAAACTAATTTATTTTTCTGGGCTATTCACTCTAATGACGAATACATAGATAAATAGTAAATATCTGTTAATGTCGAAATATTGCCAAATAAAATAGGCGATTTTTTTTTCACTGATGGTCTGATGACATCATGTAATTACACTGGCCATCACAAAAATCGACCCTCCCGCGACAAGCACTTTCAAACGTATGCATCCCCACTTCCCACCAATATTGGCACCATTTAAAAGCCTAGTTCTAAACTTCATTTCATTAGTGCTGGCAGTTCCACCAGTACGCCGTCAGGTATAATACCTCCTATGTTCTTCTGATTAATGGCAATGCCAGATTTTGTATGGAAAGTGGCGTCTTTTTTTTTCGCGCGGCCATCGACCAAACTTTGTTTTTTGATTACAAAATAGTGTAATAAACCAAACTTACTATGGCATGTATACCTCTAAACTCAGTCTGAACTGAGTTACGAGCATTAGAAGTTTGATGATTTTCATACTAGATTTGCTTTTTGTGCGCAAGTTTTGTAAGAAATTGCAACAAAATATTGCGCTATTTTTTTATTGCGCTGATTCTGCTCCATACTGATGTCTGGAGCCTTAATAGGATGATTTTTGTTTGTTTACACATACAATCTCACTATTTTGTTGCAATTTCTTACAAAACTTTGCGCGCAAAAAGCAAATCTAGTATGAAAATCATCAAACTTGTAATGCTCGTAACTCAGTTCAGACTGAGTTTAGAGGTATACATGTCATAGTAAGTTTGGTTTGTTACACTATTTTGTTAAAAAACAAAGTTTGGTCGATGGCCGCGCGAAAAAAAAAGACGCCAATTTCCGGCATTGTCTTTTGAGTGATCTCCAAAACCCATTCTATTATTATATACGATTCGGCTTCGATATCTATAATACAATAGGAGTTTATTTCATGTGTCAGATGACAAGGGTGGAAACAACCTACGATTCATGTTGTTTATTTACGTGCAATATGTGGGCATATTATAAAAGTGGAATGCCGAGTTGTATTTCTAAAACTTGTTCTATTATTTTATACTATTTGGCTGCGACTCGGCGTGACGACAATACAAAACATTTTTCGCGAATCGGTGTTCATACATTCACACAATACATTAGACGCCATGTTGTCATAAACGACATATTATAAAATCGCTGTGATTTAATATTCTTAATCATTAATTTTATGGCAAGTGTCCATCAGGAATCATTGTTCTTACACACAGAATCGTATTATTTCGCTTTCGGGTAGTAATATGTCAAAATTGTTGGTTCTTAGGCGAACAATGTATGGAGAACGAACATTGTCCTTTATTAATTTATTTTTTAGTAAATTCTTTTTTAAAAAGGATATTGTGTCTCATTTATGTACGCTCCCCTATTGTTGGCACAGATATCAATATCTCAATCAAAGTTACATTCTGAATTGTCAATCCCTTATTAAACTAGACATACTTTATAAGATAAGATATAATAAGATAAGGAATGTTGATTGTGTTAACTCTATAAATTAAAAACAAGAAACATTACTTACCTGAACAGTTTTGCTTACATTGTAATGAACCCGTTGGGTCCAATAAGAACTAAGACGCAATCGTTTTTGATTAAGTCTAATTAGGTAGGCACTTATCTGAGGATTCATATAATAACTTGATGATGTACAATCTAATTTTAATCATGATTGGAAACTACACTTAGTAAAAGATAGGATTGGAAAAGGAACTGTTTAAGATTTTGATACTTTTCACAAACATACAATTCATTAATAATGACAATAATTTGATCTTTTTAGTGGCAAGGAAGGATATACATAGATATGATAGAGCCAAACTTATGTTTTTGCAGACACAAATTACCTAAATGCAGGATCCTTTTTAGATATTCATAGGTTATATAAACTTATCGAAGCTATTATTAATTTCATGGTGCTTATTTGAAAATTACGATTGCAATTTAGGTAATAAACACTACACAAAATACAATGCCTTAGTCCAACTAACAGAAAGAGGAGTTACACAATCAGGATTTTATAAATGAAAAATCCAACCTTTGCCACCTTCCAAGTCACTAAGGATGAATACACGTTATTAACTTTCTTATTAAAATAATTAAATGACTTACCATATTCTCTGAAAAGCTTCTTGTACTCTCCAAGATCATTTTGATCCAACCACTCGTCTACCAAAGCACTTTCATCTTCAAATATGTCAGTTAAAACTAGTTGACTTAAATAAATAATTGTAAATACTATTAACGAGATGCCAAAGAAGTTTACGTGCTGAAACATTATTTTACTGCTAAAGTTACATTATTATTTTTGAATTTTGAAAAAGTCGGACGGGCGAGGGGTTTGTTTTGTTTGATGACATTTTGTTTGACATATTTTTATTGACGTTTCTGAACGTTTCGTTCTACGTACGAACGTAGGTATATCAATGATTTCACGAAATACCTAAAATAAAGTTTGTAAAAGCAATTTGGACCATGACCATAGAGTGGGTAGGTGGGTATTCAGATTTTTTGTAAACAGACAGAGATTCACGCTAAATTAATTCGTCGACCATAGTGACCATAGCTGTTAGGATTTCATGAGAGTGAGAAGGCTTGTAATTTGAATACAGTATTTGGTCTCACAATACAGATCAAGCAATGGAGAGAAGTTTTTCTTTCCAAGGAAAGAGAAGAATGAAAGTTTTCGAAGACCAATACCTACAATATTGAAGAGCTAGGTTTTTCAAATAATAAAAAAATATCTTTTTTCATTTACTCGCTACAGACGATCTTCTCAAGGTCGTTGGTCCATAGATCAGGGACTACTATGTTTGCTGAGCCATAGATCACAATATCTTTAACTACTACCAGGATAATAAAACAACAGTTCTTTGAGAATCATAAAATTCTATTAATTAATTGATTAATTTTCATCATATCACAAGGAGTGCTTTAACAGTCTATGATCTGTGAAAGCTGTACATACAAATCACATAGCAGGGGAGCTTATATGCTAACTTTGGAGATATGTTGCGTGCGTTTATTTCTTGACCTTGATTTTGTCGGCCAGAGAGCACGAGAGGCCGGTGCCGTCGGGCTCCACGTTCAGCTCCTCGATCTTGCTGTCGTTGACCACCATGGAGAAGCGCTTCGACCGGAATCCGCCGAGGGGGGGCAGGTCGGTGCCCAAGTCGAGGGCCTTGATGAAGGCGCCTTTGGGGTCCGCTAGCATGCGAACCTGTAACGACAAATACTCAGTCACAAACGTGTCAGCGATTAGAGAACAGTATGGATGTAAGTGTGATACTGTGATTAACGTTAGTTAGTCACCAGAAACGTCGTAGGAAGGAAAAAGTAGTAATTTTTGTAACCGACACGAGCAGTAGGTACATGACAGGGAGCCGAAGTTACCGTATTATTGATTTCAGGTTGAGGTCGTATTTACTGTATGAAAAAATGCCTATACGTGTCTACATTTGCGCAGCGATGTGCAAATTTCTATGCGAATTGGCATTCTGTGCTCTAAAAATAGACCTCCAGGCACGGAATATTCGATTTATAGCCTTTAGGTGGGTCGTGCTTTGCGGGAATGATGACACATCACTTCTTGGATATGTCGCCAATCCTGCCGTGAAATTATATTTACGAGAATAACACTTTAATAGAAGAACTGATAAGTGATAACTTATTTATCTTTACCTACTTATAACATTTGATTTTTAATTGCTTGATACCATACTATCATCCGATACAACTAATAGATTTATTTTAGATAGACAAAGAGCAGGCACTTTGCTGAAGACCTTCGGAAAATACCGAACAATTACTTCCTAAAATCACAATCGTTTTCACGCAAAAAAACAAAATGATTTTATGATCTTGAAAACTACTCCGCCAGCACCGAACCGGTGACTGAATGGCGAAACGAAAGTTATTAAATGTATGCCTAATAATGACATTGAGTATACCTTATTAAATTAAATGTGAAAAGATATATTTGCGCGAATACAAAAGGACAAATATTACTTCCCGCGACCGACATTCGAATCTAATAATAGCTGTCTTGCCCTTGAATGTTTACTTTAATTAAGTAATCGATAGGTATACAATAAATAAAACTCAGGAAAAAACAGTATGGACTTCGAATAACAATCTATTGCATAAAGTGATTAAAGACACAACAACACGCCACAACAGTGGAAGGAGCAGTAGGCTTGGTTTCCGGCCTGTATAATAAGTCAGGGACTAGTTCAAACACTGAAATCAAATCAATCTTATTGTATTCACGGGCCTGAATCATAGCTTTATTTTAAATCGAGCTCGTATGTCAAAGCGCCGCAAAGCTATCGAAAAGCGCAATGTTGGTTGTGGTTATCAAATTGTCTTGGAAGCAAGCTTGGAGTCGAATCTCAGTTTAGACGAATTAGACGTACAAAAACCTTCGCTATTTATAAATATAGGGCCTGGTAAGATTTCAATAATAATAATTTAGGAAGTTCCGCCTGTTTCGGATCATCTTGTGTCAGCAGTGGCGTAACTATACCATCCGAGGCCCGTGGCAAATTCTGTGCATGGGGCCCTTGGCGTATCTAGAGTTATTTTACAGGGGGGCCCCGGGACCATCGCCTTGGAGCAGCGCGAGTGCAGGGGGATTGCGCGGTACCCAGAGAAGTTGCGCGGTTATTCCAGACTAACTTTCAGTCCAATAGTCCAATCCTTCAGGAAAAGTCATTCTAACAAAAGCAAAGCATTTTTGAAAAATGTTTTGTAAACAATTTTGTATTTTAATTGTATCTTGGTACTAATTTGAAAATAATAATTAGGGATTAAACTGACTTTTTGTAAACTGTCATTGTTTGAGCAAGAATATGTTGTGTCTCTAAAAACTGAGCATAATAATTAAACAATTCGAGAGACCCTACTGCATTGCACCTTAATCATGTCAATTATTATCAAAGAGGGTGAAGGTCAGACTCAGTGCCTACTGTATAATAAAATAACTGTTACTTAATGTTGTTTGCGATGAGTCTGTTGCTGTGGAGAGGTCACCTCAGTCAATACTTTTAGATTATTCATGTGATTAACAACAAGTCTTGAACAAAATATTTAAAAAAAATGCCTACCCTATTATATATCTATTTCTTTATGAAATGTGGACATAAGAATAATTATGGGAAATTTAAAAACCTAAAGGACTGTAATTTAAAACAATCCTGAATCCTGTGGAAATATCATGCTTTATAGCTTTACTTTTTGTATCATTTGTTGAATAGATTAAAAACTGGAATTCTTTTTCTATGGAAATCTGGAATCATCTTACTTGACATTGCGGGAGTAAGTCAAGCGTAACATTACTTCTTTCAACCTTCATTTAGGTAATAAAAAATTACCTTGCAAGAACATCATGCACATCAAATCAAATGCACTTAGATTAGTAGGTAATTAAATAAATAATTTTTGTAAGGTATGCAAATAAATTATTTATCTATCTATTAGTAAAGAGTGAGATTCAGTTTTCATTTATCTCAAACTTGAAAAAGGGTAGTCAAAATTTTAAAAACTCATTCGTTACACACTTAACAATTACTTAACAATAAAACAAAAAATCATTAGTCAAACATTTTAGTGGTTGAATGAGATCATGAGTTTGTAACTTTACTAATTGATTTCTTTTGCGACTCATGTTCTTGATCAATTAGAAGTATTTATTAAAGAAATTAGTAGGTATGTAAAAAATTGTAAGTAAATGATTACCTTTCCCTTAGTATTGTGTTGTGCGCCCCACGCAGACATGACGTAGGGGTCGTTGACGGACACGCACACGATCTCCGAGACGCCCTCGGCCTTGAGCTTGTCGGCGCTCTGCACGTAGCCCGGCAGGTGCGTCTTGGAGCACCCCGGCGTGAAGGCGCCCGGCACCCCAAACACGATCACCTTCTTGCCCGCCGTCAGCTCACAAGTGTTCACTTTGTTCGCCGGCGAGTCCTCGAACAAGTCCGCAGCGGGGAGCTGGTCTCCAACCTACAAAACAATCCCGACGTCAGCCTCCAGTGCTTCCAGAAGTTCCAGTTACATAATTTTAACAAAAAACATGCACTCACCTTCACGGGTGCCATGGCTAGCGGAGTGGTGTGTACTGTGCGGCTTGTCGCTTGCTTAGCGAATGCTGAAATACCTCGAAGCGGTAGATACATTTGTAGATTTGCTTAATTTTTATTCTTTGACAACTCCACCCTCCACTTCGCGGTATCGATCCGATGAAATTGACAGGTCAAATGACAGGTGTCATAAATAGCACAGGTGAAGAAAAATGGTATTATTATTTATTGAGCTTTATTAAATTATTTTATAACAATAGCAAATCCTTATCAAAAAAATAATTAACAAATTAATAAATTATTAAATAATTTTTTGGACACATGAGCCCAGCAGGTGCCACTGCCACCATTGTCTAATTATATTTATGTCTATGGTTGGGTGATTTAAAATTAATGTTGCCATCTTTCCAAAATGTCCAATGAACATGGTAATATTAACACAAACAAACACCTTTTATCGGATTTTGAGTATCTGTCAGTCATCTCAAAATGAGACCCTATAATTTTTTTGATCTAACTAAAGTATCAACTCAGTTAATATGCAACTCTTTTTGAGAACTTGCGCATTTATTCACAAGTCAGTATAAAGGTGTGAATTGAGAATTTTTTTTTCATCATCATCATCATTTCAGCCATAGGTAGGACGTCCACTGCTGAATTTTTTTTAAAGAAAAATATTTTAAAAGTTCATTCAGTTTTTCGTTCGTTCGTTCGTTTCAGCCGAAAGACGTCCACTGCTGGACAAAGGCCTCCCCCAAGGATTTCCACAAAGACCGGTCCTGCGCCGCTTGCATCCAGGTACCTCCCGTTCAGTTTTTATTCCTACTTAATGGGATGCATAAGTTTTCTTGTATTTATAAATGATAAACAACATTTACCCATGGTGGCCTTTGAAAATTTTGTGTGTCAGAGATGTCCCGCCCGGATGTCCCTGTTGCACAAACCGGAATAAAAACTATCTTATGTCCATTCCTGGGGCTCAAACTCTATCACTACCAAATTTTATCAAAATCGGTTCATTGGTGCTTGAATGCTTAACAGACAAACCTTATTTTCATGATAGACAAAATGGAAAGTAAAGTAAATTATAGCAACACTTATTGTTTATGGTATAACATTAATGACAGCACAGATTAAAAATGTATGTTCACCTGTCACCAGTTGTCACAGATTTCCTTTCGTCAAGCATTTCATACGTTTCGTATGCGGTTAGTTGTATTTAATTTGTATTTTTACTTAAAATCTATGTTTTAGATATGAAAGTGCATGGTGTTTGTGTTATGAAAAACGGGCGTTAAGTGACTTTGGTGTTGTGTTCACGTTTAAAATATGGAGGCCCCCCCAATGGACACAGTTTATCAGGCCATCAGTGCCTTGTACGACAACCCAGATGCAAGTGAAAAGGAAAAGGCATCTCTTTGGCTTGGAGATGTTCAAAAATCTGTAAGTATCATAGTTTCTTCCAGAATAGTATTAAATATAACTGCCCAATAGATATGCCATAACATGTAAATCATGAAGTTTTAGTCACAATTTGTGCCTAATACGTTTAAATAACCCCACGTCATGCGTTAAATTTCAGATTCACTCATGGAAGATAGCAGACGATTTGCTGCATCAGAAAAAAGATATCCAATCGACTTATTTTGCTGCCCAAACAATGAGATCCAAAGTACAGAACAACCTCTCAGAATTGCCACCAGAGGCCATCATATCGCTCAGGGACTCCTTAGTGTCTCACCTGGAGGGAATGCCGCCCGACACTAGTTCAGCCATCCTCACACAGCTTTGTCTGGCTCTAGCAGACTTGGCTCTACAATTACCTTCATGGGAAAACTGCATAAGTGAACTAATAAAAACATTTTCTAACAAAAATGACTATGCCCTATTAGAAATACTGACTGTGCTTCCTCAAGAAATCGATTCATCAAAACTGAAACTGGGAGAAAACAGACGGGAAGACATAAAACAAGAGTTAAGGTCTAACAGTCAAAATGTAAACTTATTTTTAAAAGAAAGTATTGTTAATTCTCCAAATACACATGTAGGACTAAGAATTATTAAATGTCTAACGTCTTGGATACAAGTTGGAGCTATTGATATGCAAGAAATACCTCAGAATGCAGTTATTGGGTTTTGTTTACAAGTTTTAAGGGATCACAATTCAATAAATATTTTGCACGATGCCGCTTGTGACTGTGTTTGTTCATTACTGCACTGGTTAGAGGATAGTAGTCATGATGAAGTGGAGAAACTGATGTTTGACAGTCTGTCAGCGCTTGAAGACAGTTACCACTTGGCCGTGGCTCATGAGGAGGAGGAGAAGGCATCCAACTATGCTAAAGTGTTTACAGAATTAGGTGAAACATTCTTAACAAAAATTATTGATGCTGTGTCTAATGGGAATACTCACTTTGCTATGAGGTCACTTGAGTTGGCTCTTGTATGTGTGGGACACCATGATTATGAGGTAATTAGATTTTGTATATTTTTGTTCTTTAGTTTGGCAATGAACCAAGCTAACCTGATAGTGATAGTATAGCTATAGTTATTTTTTATTGTTTTATAAGTCACATAAATATTTACTTATATCCTAGGATATCTTAAACTAAATACATTTGTTTATTTATACTTTCTTATCATTACAAAAAGATTTAAACAATCACATTTATATTATCTTAGTCATACTGTTATTTTTATGTTGTTTAATTTAATGGAAATAACTGTCTTACTGTTCCAGGTGGCAGAAGTAACTTTCAACCTATGGTACAAGCTCTCTGATGATGTTTATCAAAGGGACTATCAGCCATTGACAGATGCGTTCAAGCCTCACATAGAAAGGCTAATCGAAGGCCTCGCCAGGCATTGCCAATGTGAGCCAGACCAGAGTACACTACCAGATGAAGGTGATGATTTCTTTGTAAGTATATTACTTCCTTGTAAGTATATTTTGGTTACACAGCTGTGCGATTGCCACTAAAAACTTGTTCAAACTGAGAGATTTCTTACAAATCTGTATGTTTATTTCTTTCTTGTGTATCCTTTGTGCATAATTTACATAATAATTTGTGTGATTATAATAAAGAAAGATAGGTACTGTATTTATCTACATAATATACAGTTTTCTATAGTGTTTGAGCTCTTGTTCTGTAGCTGTCTTAGGTACGCATCTGTAATTGTAAAGCGAAAACTCGTTTTCTAATTAACCTACTTTAATTGTGACTTTTATGTGGTGTTTTTTGGAGAATACTGTCATAGTTAACCTCACAAATAACGGGCGTTATTGTGGGTGTTTTTTTAGTTAATTACCACACAAATATCGGGCGTTATTGTGGTCTTTTTTTGGTTCACAGCCTCACAAATATTGGTAGTTATTGTGGTAATTTTTTAGTTAAAAACCACACAAATATCGGGCGTTATTGTGGTCTTTTTTTCGTTCACAGCCTCACAAATATTGGTAGTTATTGTGGTACCTAATTTTTTAGTTAAAAACTCCACAAGTATCGGGCGTTGTTGTGGTCTTTTTTTCGTTCACAGCCTCACAAATATTGGTATTTATTGTGGTATTTTTTTAGTTAAAAACCTCACAAATATCGGGCGTTATTGTGGTCCTTTTTCCGTTAACAACCCTATAAAATAAATATAGGGCGTTATTGTGCTCTTTTTCTGGTTAGCAGCCTTACAAATAGCGGGCGTTATTGTGTTTTTTTTTTATTCACAGCGTCACAAATATCGGGCGTTATTGTGATCCTTTTTTCGTTAACAACCCACAAATATAGGGCGTTATTGTGGTCTTTTTCTAGTTAGCAGCCTTACAAATATCGGGCGTTCTATCCTTTTTTCGTTAACAGCCTCAAATAGCGGTCATGTTTATTCTTGCAGGAATTCCGCATCAAGGTGATGGGCCTGATCAAGGATGTGGTGTTCATCGTGGGCTCCAGCGCGGTATTCCGGCAGATGTTCGCGGCGCTCCACGCAGACATCTCCTGGGAGCAGACCGAGGCGGCGCTGTTCATCATGCAGTCGGTCGCCAAGAATATACTGCCGTGAGTTCTAATTCTTACCCCCTTTTGGTATGAATTAATGGTGATGTAGACATTGGTGTATATCCAATCCACTCACTATTGTCTTCTGCAAATGTTCCTCTTTTTATGAAGTCCTAAGGTCGCAAATTCAGAACAGCGGCACGTGCAGCGTTGCGGTCAACGCGTACGCACGTAACTAGTTTTCGCTAGAACGCGCGTAAGGCCCTTTTCACACGTCCCGGTTGCCGCCTATTCGGTGGTGAAGTGTATGGGCATGGTACGTAGCTTTCACATGTTCCGGCGTAATTAATCCGGCATGCCCATACACTTCACCACCGGGCACCCGGCGCCGGATAGCCGGCAACCGGGACATGTGAAAAGGGCCTAACGCGTGCGAACGGGGCGTCTGTGGGTAACGCCCTTATTCACAAACATTACTATGAGGTCTGAGTGCGCGTGGACGCACAGGGTGACACACGAACCAATCGCAGAGCTCTATTCAACGCTGTGCGTTCGATTCAAGCATCGTTTGTGAATACGGGCGTAACTTACGATCAGTAGTCGAGCGTCCACGCACAAAATACGGCGCGTGAAATGGAGCGTCCATTTCACGCGCCGCCGTTCCGAATTTACCGTCTCAGTTCTTAACAACCTATCCCGTTCCAGCGAGGAGTACGAGTACGTGCCGAAGGTGGTGGAAGCTATTCTATCGATGCCTGACGACACGCACCCGGGCGTTCGCAAGACTTGCATCCTGCTGCTGGGCGAGCTGTGCGAGTGGATCGAGCAGCACCCCGAGGCGCTGGAGCCCAGCCTGCGCGTGCTGGTGCGCGCCGTGCACGACGACAAGCTGGCCTACGCCGCGGCGCTGGCCTTGCAGGTGAGACTGTTGAAATATGAACGCAGCCCATATGTTTTTTCTTAAGTTGACACTAGGTGTCGCCACTTACGTTTTTCTCTCGCTGAAATACACGCCGCCATTGCTCGTAACGCTCCGTCTTTTATTTATAAATTCCTTATATTTTCAAGGCATCAATGAACTAGTCGTTCCAGTTTAAATGATATGCTTTTCGAGTACTTCATGTCAGGCCTAAAATCAAACAGTACCTCTAGCATGAACATCTTTCGTCTTCGCGTATCCGATAAAATTCGATACTCAACCTTTGAATTAAACGATAACGTGACAATTTGGATTCTCAAAATAAGTTTTGTACATCCATTTCTTATACTAAGTTCACTTTACGACACGTTCACAAGGGCGTTGTTGCATTTTTCGTACTAAATCTTTTGATGGCGATTCGAATACGCAAACGATTCGAACTCGAAAGTTTTTCGTGCTAGCCGTACAGGTCCTACTCCGGCTGGCTCAAAAACGGCATCACGTCCGCCTCGGACCGCGTCTTCTCCAAAGAAACAATATCACAACATTGTTCTTGTTGCAGAACATCTGCAAGGCCTGCCGGGTGCAGGCGGCGTCGCACGCGATGTCGCTGCTAGAAGCCACACGCGACTCGGAAAAGCTGAACCTGCCGCTGCCGGCCGCCGCGGCGCTCGCGCGAGCCCTCGCCTCCGCGCTCGGCGGCCTGCCGCCCGACCAGGTCAGTTGCTCATGACGTCACATAACACTGCCGCCCGACAAGGTCAAAACGGGACTATTCCCACCTCTCGTTCCCACCACTGCAACTCCTGTGTAGCCAGGATCTACAGCTTGACCGCCACAAAAACCCAACCAATGAAGGTCAAGTTTGTCCCGGGGAAGAGTTAAACTGTCATTGGACCCGCAACGAAATTAATCAGAAGAACATAGGAGGAGTTCGAAATTAAGGTTCGACCAGGTCAGTCGCTGATGACGTCACATTACACTGATGCCCGCGGGATCTGCCCGGCTTTTACCCGTGGTCCCCCCAACATGTCCCCAATTTATTTTAACCATGTTCCCACCGCACTAAGTGTGTGATGTGAAGATATTATAAGGATATTATGGTGCCGTACCTACCTATAATTATTTTCTATATTAATTATAGATTTTTTTATAATATTATAGATACCTAGGTGACAAGCAATGTTTGCCACTTAGTGCGGTGGGACCATGGTTATAATAAATTACGGGGACATGTTGGGGGGACCACGGGTAAAAGCCGGATCTGCCGCCCGACCAGGTCAGTGGCCGCACTCCTGGACTCCTGCAGATGACGTCACTCATAACACTGCCCGCAGGATAGACCAGCTATTGTCGCACCCAATGAGCAGCCTTGTGACAATTTCGATACACATACTTCAGTTTATCTTGGCGCGTAAAGCTATGTCTTATGCAACTTTGAACTGTGTGACAGTGACATAACGGTGGTCATGCAAGCAAACATAGTCAGAGTCACTGTATTTATATTGTTACGAATATCCCGATTAGACAATAAGGGAGAAACCACACAGTGCGGTGGGGGCGCGGCGCGGCGGCGGAGCGGTGCCGCTGCGGCGTCCTGCGTATAAAAATCAATGATATGCCAGATGTTCTGGCGCCGCACCGCAAGCACACCGCACTTCGATTGAGCGAGACGGTGCCGTTGCGGCGCCGCATACCACCATGTGTACAGTGATGCGGCAAAATGTTTGCGGTGCGGCGCCGCACCGTACCGTGTGGCATCTCCCTAAGAATACTGGTCTGTCGGATTTTAGTGGATAGGCCCCATTCTGTTGGGAAGACGCCCACATAACCTGCAGGCCGTCCACATTGCCCAATGGGTATGCTCAAAGAATTTCCAGACGAAAAAAAAATGTGTAACTGTATCTTACTCGGCTGAACTAATTTGTTTGTATTCTACAGCTCAGCGTGGCCATGCGGGAAGCGGTGAGCATGCAGCTGGCGCCGCTGCAGGCGACGCTGAAGTCGGACGCGGCGCTGCAGAAGGGCACGAGCTCGGACCCGGTCAGCAGCCTGGACAAGATCGCGGCGCTGTTCCGCGACATCAAGGCGCCGGCGCCGCGACACGACGACGTCGCGCTCGCCTGCCTGCCCGCGCTCGCCGACGCCTGGCCCGTCATACGCGACGTCATGCAGAAGTGAGTGCGAGATGGGCCTAAGGCTGGTTTTAGTGTCACGCGGAGCGTCCGGTGCGGACCCGCTCCGCACGGCCAATCTGTATGATCATCTAGCTCCGCTCCCTAGCAGTTCATACAAATCCGCACTGACAGTCCGCGTGACACTAAAACCAGCCTAACTAGGACGACAACTGTCGAGCATGTCGTGAGTCGAATCACGAAGAGACGTAACTATATTTTATCAATTTTACAGGAGCGACGATTATTGAAATATGGAAAAATGCATTTCGGGCCCTTTTTACCTGTCAATACTGGCTTCCTGAAAAAGAATTCAGTTACGATCTTTTGTGAGGTTATGAAATGCATGTTTTTTAATAACATGGTGTGTTTAACTCAATATCGCCAATTACGAGATGTGGAGAACATGCGGAGTCCATGAGGCACCTACTGTGCGAATGTGACGCGCTAGCGAGAACTAGGGTGGGTCTCCTAGGGTCGACCTATCCGGCACCAGAAGATTATAGGCCATCTCACTCAAGCCCTTGATTCGCCTTATGGATAGGATTTTTGCAGATGACGAAAAGGGAAACACAAAATATCCCAATGGCCCTCATGCGTGGCCCTGAAGAAGATAAGACTGCTCCGCAGGAGACGGTGAGGGCACCGGGGGGAAAAATTACTCGTCTTTGCCACACATAAATACAATAGACACAGAACTAAAAAAAATAGTAATTTCTTCGGGTTAGCTTTGTCTCAACAAATACTGCAGAACTGACAATGTCGACCCACCCGGAACGGTTTCTACACAATAAGTTCAGGATACAAGTCTAGGACTCCAAAAGATGCAGATTACTAGTCCCAAATTTGATAAAAATTAACCGAGCAAAAAAGCCTGCAGCTTAATCAATAGTTGTAACAACCGAAACCGTCGAATAATAATTGCATTGTATTAAACTGTCGATTTTCCCCTCAGATACAACACCGACGGCCGCATAATGGAGCGGTCAACGCGCGCGTTACGCTTCGCCGTCCGCTGCGTGGGACGGAACGCTGCGGCCTTACTTCCACCGCTCGCAGTACACATGGCGTCACTATACATGACTGCGGCACACAGCTGCCTGTTGTACCTGGCTTCAGTGTTACTTGATGAGCTGGCCGCGGCGCCGGGGTGCGCGCCCGCGCTCGTGCAACTTCTGCAAGACCTCATGCCGCGCGCCTTCAACCTGCTACAGGTGCCCAACGGAATGCAAGACAACCCGGACACTATTGATGATCTGTTCCGGCTTTGTATCAGGTTAGTCAGCTTGGTGTCTTTGACGACGGCTGTCTGTAGTTTACAAGATTTTTTTATTCTTCCACTCCCCATGCTGAGTAGATGGGCTGAGGACTACTGAGGAGGCCTGAAGTTCGCATAATTATCCCTTTAGTGACTTTTAACTATGTCATTATGAAGGAATACAGATCATAAAACTAAGATTCCCCTTTCCTGGACGATTCCTTTCTAAATTATGTAATCTCTGCCCCACAAAAGTGTCTCCCAACACGTCTCTCAATGATAGAGGACTCTCTCACACTCCCGTGCAAGATCCTGCAGCGCATCCTGCTGGAATTCCTTGCTGCTGTTCGTAATTCTATATGTGCACTTAAATTCTGAATGATCCCTCTATTTATGTCACTTTTATTGCACAGAAAATAAAGTCCAACATGTTCTTCAGAGATACAATATTAAGCTCATATTCCCCTGCAGATTCCTGCAGCGTATCCCGCTGGAGTTCCTTGCAACTTTTCGTTCTGTTATAAATGTGTTTTCTAACCCTCTGTTTATTTTTGTCTTTAGAGATAGGGTATTATGCCACGCGTCTTTCAGCGACAAATCATAAAGATGGTATTCCCTCGCAGGTTCTTGCAGCGTATCCCACTGGAGTTCTTATCATGCGGCGCGGCGGGCGCGGTGGTGCAGTGCGCCAACCTGGCCTGCAAGCTGGACCACCGCGAGGCCAACTCCTCCGTCATGAAGTTCCTCTACGACTTCGTGTCTGCCGCCAATAGGGGCAAGGACCAGGTCAAAGGTAAGGCGGATCTTGAAGTGGTTGCAGGTTTTGCGACTTACCATAGGCGCAGGCCACGGACTTTTAGTTGGCCGATAGTTGAATCGGGCTGTTGATCAGTATGAACATGTATGGAAGTGCGCACACGCACACTACACCGATTTGGTATCCGCCGATTCTTCATACAAATTAGAATCGGGCTCAACTATCGGCCAACTAAAAGTCGGTGGTCTACGCCTAGGCTTAGGCGGCGTGTGTTTTTTATGACAACTTTAAATTAACATCTTTCCCTCTTATAAGACTTGACACCGCTAGTGTACTAATCGGTGTTCTTGAAATACACAATTTTTTTTATATCCATAGGTCGCTGGCTCATATCCGGCTCAAAGGACCAAAACTAATGTAGCTGTTATAAATCACACATTAAAGATTTGCGGGGTGGTGACTCGATTATTCCATTAATTCTAGAGGAATTGGTCTTTTCCCGATAGCTCCATCCTAGCTTCTCCAGGATCAATGACGAACGACGATCGTTCGTTTCAGCCGAAAGACGTCCACTGCTGGACAAAGGCCTCCCCCGAGGATTTCTACAAAGACCGGTCCTGCGCCGCTCACATACAGGCACCTCCCGCGACCGTCACCAGATCGTTGGTCCACCGAGTGCATTGGTTCCTAAACTTATTTGAGACGTGCCCCCTTTTGACCATAAAAAAATTCCTCAAGTCAAGATTATTTATTGATTGTATCGAACAGTCTAGAATGCACTCTCTCAGTGGTCGCAGGTTTTTATACTTAAGTACACAGATGGCCCGCGCCCCCCTTTAAAGGTGTTTGCTTGCGCCTCCCCTGGCAATCAATGACCTAGTGGGTGACGCGCAGGAATCGGTCTCTTCCCGGTAGCTCAATCTTAGTTTTTCTAGGATCAACGACTCTCCCTGTTTCACGGTACTTTTAACTGACTATGAGCGTCTCCGCAGTGCTAGCCAACGAGCTTCTAGACCTGTATGGGGCAGAGATGATGACGTACTTCCAGTAGCTCCGTCCTAGTTTTTCTAGGATCAAGTACTGTCCGTCTTTCACGATACATCTGACTGACTTTGAGCGTCTCCGCACTGCTGGCCAACGAGCTGCTTGACCTGTATGGTACAGAGATGACGTACGCGCAGGAATTGGTCTCTTCCCGGTAGCTCCACCCTAGCTTCTCCAGGATCAACAACTCTCCCCTCCTTCACTATACTTATGACTTTGAGCGTCTCCGCAGTGCTGGCCAACGAGCTGCTAGACCTGTATGGGGCAGAGATGATGACGTACTTCCAGTAGCTCCGTCCTAGTTTTTCTAGGATCAAGGACTGTCCCTCCTTCACGATACATCTAACTGACTGTCTCCGCAGTGCTGGCCAACGAACTTCTAGACCTGTTTGGTACAGAAATGACGTACGCGCAGGAATTGGTCTCTTCCCGGTAGCTCCATCCTAGTTTTTCTAGGATCAACGAACGAAATTCAACTCTCCCCTCTTTCACGATACATCTGACTGACTTTGAGCGTGTCCGCAGTGCTGGCCAACGAGCTCCTAGACATGAATGGGGCAGAGATGATGACGTACTCCCAGTAGCTCCATGAGCTCCATCCTAGTTTTTCTAGGATCAAGGACTGTCCTTCTTTCACGATACATCTAACTGACTGTCTCCGCAGTGTTGGCCAACGAGCTGCTGGACCTGTATGGGGCAGAGATGACGTACTCCCAGTAGCTCCATCCTAGTTTTTCTAGGATCAAGGACTGTCCCTCTTTCACGATACATCTGACTGACTTTGACCGTGTCCGCAGTGCTGGCCAACGAGCTCTTGGACTTATATGGTACAGAGATGACGTACGCGCAGGAATCGGTCTCTTCCTGGTAGCTCCATCCTAGTTTTTCTAGGATCAACAACTCTCTCCTCCTTCACTATACTTATGACTTTGAGCGTCTCCGCAGTGCTGGCCAACGAGCTCCTAGACCTGAATGGGGCAGAGATGATGACGTACTCCCAGTAGCTCCATGAGCTCCATCCTAGTTTTTCTAGGATCAAGGACTCTCCCCTCCTTCACGATACATCTAACTGACTGTCTCCGCAGTGCTGGCCAACGAGCTCCTAGACCTGTGGAGCAGAGATGACGTACGCGCAGCAATTGGCCTTTTCTGGGTAGCTCCATCCTAGAGCTTCTCCAGGATCAATGACTCACCTCCTTCGCGCACGATACATCTAAGGGCCCTCGCCCATGGCGATTTTCACGAAACGCGCGACAGCATCGTTACTAACGCGTGTTAGTCGCATTTGGCATTTGCAACGCACTATAGAAGTGATGCCAACGCGCTACAGCAGCGTGACTGCATCGCTACAAAAAGTCGCCGTGGGCGAGGGCCCTAAAGATAGCATTCGGATCAAGACGACTGCGACGAGAGACCACGACCCGAAACCGCGACAGGCAACCGGTCGCAGGGCGACAGCTACTTACGAATCTTCGCGACACGAGTCGTGCGATCCATACGAAACTTACTATCTATTAAAATTTCGTCTTCGTGCGAAGAAAACACGGCCATTTTGCATCTGTCGCGTCACGGCACTGCCTTGTGAGCGACCGAGTCGCGCGACGCAAGTAGCCGGCAGGCCACGCCCACACGTCGCGCGACTCGGTTGCTTGCATCCGTCAGCACTTCCTATTAATTTATATAAAGCAGTGGGTCGCGGTCGCCGGTCGCGGTCTCGAGTCGCGGTCTCGCGTCGCGGTCGTCTTGATCCGAATGCTACCTTAACTGACTTTGACCGTGTCCGCAGTGCTGGCCAACGAGCTCCTAGACCTGTATGGGGCAGAGATGACGTACGCGCTGCTGGAAGCGGCCGTGCTGCACCTGCACGCCTACATGCTGGCCGAGGTGGCCGAGGTGCTGCTGGAGCTGACGAGCGCGCGCGGCGGCGCCTGGCTGCAGGCCGCGCTCGCCCGCCTGCCCGCGCGCCCGGCCGCCGCCACGCCGCAGCAGTGCTGGCAGTTCCACCAGTACGCCGTCAGGTATAATACCTCCTATGTTCTTCTGATTAATGGCAATGCCAGATTTTGTATGGAAAGTGGCGTCTTTTTTTTTTAGCGCGGCCATCGATCAAACTTTGTTTTTTGATTACAAAATAGTCTAATAAACCAAACTTACTATGGCATGTATACCTCTAAACTCAGTCTGAACTGAGTTACGAGCATTAGAAGTTTGATGATTNGTATCGAGTGTGCGTTTGCGATTATAATGAAGCTTGTAGAATAAGGGCCAGTAACTATTTTTAATGTGTTATCATTAGTGTCGAAACTATAAAGTATATTTTACCAAAAGTGGGGTTGGGGACGGTTGAAACATTTTTTGTGGGTACGGTTGAAACAGAAAATTTATTAATGTTTATTTTTTGTAGATACCGAGAGTTTGGGTAAATAAGATTTCCAGAGAGGAAATTGACTTAGTAAAGCATTAGAGGTGGTAAAAGCTAGAGATTCACTGCGGAAAGCGGCGGAAAAGTATGGTTTGAAAAAAAAAAAGATTTTCGTTAATTTTATTCAGAATTTTAACATTATTCTATTATCAATGTTTATTAGGTTTGGAAATATCATTTAGTTAATCATATTTCTGTTATTTTTTTAAATGTTTACTACTAATCAAAGGCTAATTAATGATTTAGAAATATTAAATACTTAGACTGATTAATGTCGTCATGTGGTACTATAATTTTAATATTCGTATTATTAATGATAAATAAAACACGTTTTATTAGTACTTATTGTATTATTTGTATGTATTTTAACAGATCCCAATCGCTGTTTCAACCGCCCCTGGCATGGGGACGGTTGAAACAAAATTTCTTTTTTTTTAAATTGCGTATATTTCTATAAATAGTAACCCGGGAACTATAATGATACAGCCATATCATAGCTAAAACTTCAAATTTCAATTTCACGTATCGTAATCGTCACTTGGTTATTAAACAACAAAATTATAGACAATAAAAGCAAAATTGTTTCAACCGTACCCAGTCTCCCCTACGTGACCAACTGGGCTGACAGTTCCACCAGTATGCTGTCAGGTACGTGACCAACTGGGCTGACAGTTCCACCAGTATGCTGTCAGGTACGTCACCACACTGCTGCTAAAACCATCAGTACGCCGTGAACGTCACAACCCACCCCTAGCTCGCAATATGCGGTGAGCCATCACGCGTATGCAGCGAGTTAGTACGCAGCTAGCGCGCAATATGCGGTGAGCTAGCGCGCAGTATGCAGTGAGCTAGCCCACAATATGCGGTGAGCCATCACGCGTATGCAGCGAGTTAGTACGCAGCTAGCGCGCAATATGCGGTGAGCTAGCACGACGCAGTATGCAGTGAGCTAGCACGCAGTATGCAGTGAGCTAGCCCACAATATGCGGTGAGCCATCACGCGTATGCAGCGAGTTAGTACGCAGCCAGCGCGCAATATGCGGTGAGCTAGCGCGCAGTATGCAGTGAGCTAGCACGCAGTACGCAGTGAGCTAGCGCGCTGAACACATTGCGTGTTTTAAATTCATAAATTAAATTCAATTATTTATTTTCTAGGAATGACCTAAAAACTATTGCTAAGTACTTGTTAAGTCCGGTAATGATCGTGAGCTACTATTCACTAATACTGAAAATATACTGCTCTACTTCTACTGCCTCTACATTTGACTACTTAAATAAATACAGAAACGAAGCTAAGTTATGTTTCCAAATATTAAAATATACATATTTATCTTATTCCAGGGCAGAGAAGTGCAAAGAGATGACCCGGCTGCTTCGCGACTTCGCGCGGCTGTACCGATAGCCGCCAGGCGCCCGACTGAACCTCAGCCGCTACTGAACAATAAGACAAACTAATTATATCCGAACTAGACTCTTACTCTTAGACTTCTTACTTCTTCCATATTATCCTACCTAAGTGTAGCCGAGTGAAACAAAAAATCTCATATCAAATGCGAAATGTTTCGCATAATTAAAAGTTGATTCATTTCTTCCCATCTCAAAATTCAATTAAAAGAGTTATTTTAAGATTTGTATAGATTTATTTTTAATAAATAAACCGAACGAGTCAACCCTTAATAAGTTAGGTAAGTATGACACTTTCTATCGATGAAATATATTTTGTTATTATTATACCTTCTTTTATTTGATTGTGATACTTGCTTGTAAATATTTATTATAAATGTTTACTCATACACTTGACTTTCTTTTATTGTTCCAGTAGTAATTTGTTAAAAAAATAAGCTTAAATTAAATGTTAAATGTATATTATAATTGTTATGTATCAAATCTTTTGTGACCAGTTCTGCATCTCTGTCGGCGTTATTGGAATCAAAATGGGCAATATAATCACTTCACTTTTTCTTACTATTTTTAGGGCTCGATAGGGTGACAAAACTCACTCGTCTAGGGGCTTTGGGACTCGGCGCAGCCTTCGACGCGGGTGACTTCACGTCCGTCACTTTGGCTTGCTTAAAGAAATTATTACTGCTAGAACTTTTCGGCGTCTCCGCTTTAGGCGACTCTTTCTTTTGCTCGGGAGAAGTCTTCATTTGTTGGGGTGACGTCTTTTTCTGGTCTTTCGGCGACTCAGCTGACTTGGTCTCAGTTTCGTCGTACACCAACTTCATATCTTCGCTGTCCTCTATTTCGATGACCGCCGAAGGCTTCTCAGAATCCACTTCCATCGCGTCTTGCTTAGGCTTGCCCATTCCACTGTTGGAGTTGTCATTCCACGACGGCATAGCGACTTCTTCTAATACATCAATTTTTATGGGAGTTTTCTGCTGATTGGTCTCGATCTTCTGCTTTTTAGGAGACTTCTGTGAGGGTGTTTTGAATTTGATAAACGAGTCTATTTTTTGGACGTTGCTGGACTGCTTTTCTTCAGGAGCTTTCTCTTTTATTTCGGTTTTCTGAGATTCTTTCGGTTCTTGTTCTTCAACTTCCATTTGGTCTGTAATAAATGATAAATAGTTTACTATCAATAAAGTAAAATAGGATTACAAATCGTTGGAAAAATGCTTCATGACCAAGTAGGTAAATATTATGCAATTCACACAAGTTATACCAATAAAAAAAAACATTTGTAAATCCCACATTAAGCATCTAGGAACTGGATCCGATGATAGGGGTGGATCCGGCTCGAAGGACCATTTAATATAGAGCGTGTGGAATGAACACAACCAGTTTGAGTGACTTAGAAATACACTGATCTATTTCTTTATTGTATTTATCTGTATGATTTATGACTACGCTCGTACATACCATTCCCAACCGATATGATATTTTACTAAAGTTTATTTATTTATTTTGGGAAACATACAGTTACAATATAATTTAACTTAGGTGCAGTAAGAAAACACAAACCAATTAAGTTTCCACATTTAAGTTATAGTTAAAGTTGGGATTTATTGATTCACTTTAGATATTTGTCTCACGGCGATACCTTCAGTGGTCTGAGGAAGCGCTGGTGTTTCTTCCGGCAGCACGTCGCCCAGCTCGCCGTCGTCGAAGCTGATGACGGAGCAGTAGCCGTCCGTGCTGCTGGCCACCAGCCGCCGCGCGTCCGGAGACCACGACAGGTCCGTCAGCCTGGAAGAACGCACAGGCGATTCAAGCTAAACGTCCACATGTCGGTATCGTACGCAACGGATAGTAGTATTATTTATATGGAAACTCATATAAGTGCGTCCACCTGTCCACATCGTACGCATCGCACATCCGATACGATGTGTTTTGTACGATGCGTCCGTTGCGTACGATACCGACAAGTGGACGCTAAGCTTTAAGCAACACACAGGATTTCACCTGGATTTTATGGGCTATTCAATATGGACAGATACACCTGGATTATAAGGACAGCTATTCACTATGGACAGTTGCAGTTTCATCTTTATTATCAGGATGTTAGGTTATGGTGAAGTCAGAAATTTGATATCTTCATTTTAATTATTTTAATTTTCATACAAATCGGATATTATAAAATTTATTTTGTATGAAAATTAAAAAAAAATAAAATGATGATATCAAATTTCTGACTTCACCATACCATTTATATGCCCATGTTAACATGGGCTAGTGTCGGCTCATATACCCATTTACCTAACACCCTGTAAACGCGGCTTTTCACAATAGACACTGGATTATGTATCAAAAATATACTTTTTCTTCTTTTCAGCACCAGCTAATTTATTGAACCAAAGTGGTGGTAGGGCCAGCTATATTTGGAACGTGCATGTACCTTATCTAATGCATTTGAAAGTGCAATATTATAACTTTTAGAGTCATCCAAAGTTTGATTTTTTTTTTTTTTTTTTTTTTCAAATCAAGCGGGCGGGGCATATAGCTCGTAGAGACGATGGCCGTTGGGGCAGAAAAGTTCTTGAGTGGCGACCACGGGCTGGAAGACGTAGTGTGGGCAAGTTTCCTACTAGGTGGAACGACGATCGGGCAGCGCAGGACCGTTCATTGTGGAAAACCGTGGGGGAGGCGGAGGCCTTTGTCAAGCAGTGGACGTCATTTGGCTAAAACGAACGAACAAACGATTCTTTTTTTTTAAACTTCCATAAAATATGAGAAGAGGCCGCAGGCATGCAATATTCATTGGTTGTCGTCAACCTCTCATGTGAAGAAAATAAGATGTTTTTTCATGTGCTAAGTAATTTCTATTTTTACTACTTTTTTGTCAAAAAGTCAGGGTCTCACCTGGTGTAATGTATATTGGATATGAGCGCGACAGGCGTCTTCTGCTGCGTGTCATACAACAGCACGCTTCGTTTAGTAGCCACGGCGAGCAGCATTCGTGGCGCCGGCAGCGCGGGCGCGGGCCCTTCGCGGCGCGCGCTGAACCGCAGCGGCGCCCACCGCACCGCCAGCGCCGGCTCCCCGCACGGCAGGATGCAGGCTGGCCTGGAGAATAATAATCTATACTTATAATAAATCTGTAGAGAGGTCAATTCTGTACATGAAATATATTTTCAAAATAACTATCAAAGGGTGATTAGTGATCGATACTGATTGCCAAAAATGCAATCAGTAAAATTTTTGTCTGTCTGTATGTTCCTTATACAAACAAAAACTACTCGACGGATTTTAACGAAACTTGGTACAATTATTCTTCATACTCCTGGGCAGGTTATAGTGTACTTAGGAATTCCCACGGGAACGGGAAATTAGCGGGAAAATCCTTTTTTATGAAAAATTTAAACCGCTTCAGTTAGACGCTTGAAATTTGGCGTTCAAGTACCTAGTAATCTTAAAGCTTAGTTACAACAGGCTATTGCAAAATTCCCACGGGAACGGGAGTTAGCGGGAAAAAACATTTGTATGCAAAATAAATAAATATCCTTGGACATTTACTTTTTAAGACATTTATTTCATCAAAAGAATTTACAATTCATTTGGTTGTGAAATAGGAATAATTATTTTGTTAGTGATACAAGTGCCGGAATGTTTTACATTTTACACTACACTTTAATCCCAAAACTAAGCAAAGCTTGTACTATGGGTACTAGACAATGGATATAAATATAAGTTACTCTTGAAGTTGATTGAACTAGGGGTGTCAGAATGTATAAGTGGTATAAGTTAGAAGCCGCGACAGAAACTGCGCCGTGGAAGACGGAACGCGAATACATCGGACACATTATGTCTGCAATGTTTAGTTAGTAAATGCTTCAACATTTCTTTTCAAATGGAACTACCGCCTAGTTCACCTAGCTAGGACTAACCCATAAAAGCAATGCTGTTATGTATTTCATTTCAAAGTCAATTTAGGCAAATTAAAACTTCTTAAATCAATGTACAGAAAGCCATACAATTTACTTCTGTAAATATGAGCTGAATAAATACACCTTTTTATGAATTGAATAATCAGAAAGCATACTCACACTTTCAATGAATATCTAGTGTAAATGTACACAGCATTGATTGGTTTTACATCCACCTTGGCCTGGTCAGGTTCAACTCGACCAGCTGGCACTGCCAGCAGCAAGCCATCAGGGCTGAAATGCAGTCTTCTGAAGTATGTCTGCAGCGTGTCATCGTGGTAGAGACGCACTTTAACTTCGTGCAGAGGGTGGTCAGGTGGAAAGGGAAGTGTGGCTTTGCTGCTTCGTGATACAACTTTCTTTGTGTTCACATCAATGGTACGGAATACTCTGGAATGACGAAGATTGATTAATACATAATTAGAATTCAAAATTAAATACAGGAAATAAAATAATCTTAACTAATGTCAAAAAATCAACTTCAAAGTAATGAGCAAACCAAATACCTGTCTGTGCTAGCAGTAGCAATGATACTGCCTTGAGGATCCCATGACACTCCCTGGATGAATCCCTTATGATCTGTGATGATGGATGTGTACCGGCCTCGAGTAACATCCCACACTAGCAGCTTGTTGTCCACAGAGCCTGACGCCAGGTGCAGGGAATCAGGACTCCAGCTGAGATCTAGGACATCTTCCATGTGGCCTCTGAGTGTCTGATGGATAGTAAAAGTATTGACTGAAGAAGTAATGACAGTATTTTAAATGTTAAATTTTTTACAACTAAAATGATGTGAATGCTCTCAAATACCTGCCTTGTTTTGCATTAATAACACCCCTCATTTAGCGTGGGGAATTAAAAAATGGAAGCTTACACAGATTCACCACTCACCTTGTGAATTACCCACGTTTCTTTGTACTGCTCCTCTCCTTGGTCAAGAGTCTGAACAGTTTCCTTCTCAGTCTTTTGTTGCCAGACAAAAATAATTGATTCGTCATCTCCAGATGCCAGAAGTTGTCCGTTAGGGGACCACCGTACTACATTCACTGCCTTTTGGTGACGGGTTAGATCAGCAACTACCTCAATGTTTACAGATCCTGAGTCACTGGAGTTTATGTACCAAATCTATAAAAAAAAAGTAACTTCAGATAATGCCTATAAACGTACAAAGGACTGACTGATTACTGACACAGAACAGATATACTCCAAAAGGACTTATTTAGTATGGTTTAAAGCAATGTAGAACAAGAAAAAGGATTTACCAAAACATGAGAATCCGTGCCACCAGTAGCGAGCCGTAATGGCCCATTAGGCTCTGTATTTGGCTGAAAATCTACACTAAGGACTGGGTCACGATTATGCCAAGATATTTCGGGAATGGCGAATTTCATTTTATCACAGTTTTTCTAACAAACAGGCAAGTAAACTTTTCAGCTGATTAATTTCTTAAATCTGTCAGATTTTAGGCGCCAAAACTCTCCGATTGTGACATTTGTTTTCTTAAATTATTTATTTTTAATTATTTCTACTAATAGTGTTACTATAGTTTAAAAAAATTTTAAATAACTAAAAGCAAAAATAAACTTCTAACTTTTTTATATAGCGATTGCCCTAATAAATATAAAAATAGAGGTAAAAAAAGCGAGAAAACTATCTAAGAATATGAATTCTTAAGGCAGGTGGGGCGGGGGTGGGGCAAATAAAATATTTTCAACCATCTTTCAGCAACGGATTATAAACATTAAAAAAATAGTGCAAGTTAGACAAATGAAATGGTCGAACTCACAAGAAATACTATTCTTAATCATAATAAGAAACAAAATTTTTCTACTACCTACTAATATAACTTGAAAAGTGGCAACATTTAAAGAGTCACTGTCAGTAGTTTTTAATCTGCTGTCTCTTTCTCTCTCGCCTTTTTGACGTTCTTTCAGATCGTGTTGAGCAAAAATCAAAATGGTTTGTGTTTTTTCCGTAAAAATATCCATGTTAATCATGAATTGTGTTGATTTAATTCGAATCAAAACCAAAAATATATGTTCAGTGTTTATTCAAGTGCCTCTTGGAAAAGATATTTTAGTTAAACCCGTTACCAATTTCAGGTGAACGTACCAAAACAGCGCAGGACCTACTGCAAAAAGTGCAAATGCCACAAGACCCACAAGGTGTCCCAGTACAAAAAGTCAAAGGAAAGGCATGCTGCCCAGGGTAGAAGGCGTTATGACCGCAAACAACAGGGTTATGGTGGTCAGTCCAAGCCTATCTTCAAGAAGAAGGTAAACATCTAACATAACCTTTAACAACCGGTAGTATTATTGATTCTCTTGCTCAGACAAATCCTTCTTCTAATTGAAAAGATGAAATAGCTACAGTATTATTGTTACCCAAAAAAAACTGTTCATCAGACAGGCTATTCAAGACTATAATAACTCAGTTGCTCAATAATATCCGACTGATTGTAATTAAATGTTAAATGAACCTGTTTCTGACATAGAAACTTCTTTCTGAACAGGAACTTATTGTACACAGTAATTCAGTGTTCACTACAATCATGCCAGGTTGATGATCTTAGAAATAGTCTCATTAGTAATATGCAGTAGGTATCTTAATTTGTAAATAGTGTAAAACTGGAAGAAAATTAATTCAGTATCCCAATTGTTTTAGGCGAAAACTACCAAGAAAATTGTGCTGCGTCTTGAGTGTGCCGACTGCAAGGTGCGATCACAGGTTGCGCTGAAGCGATGCAAGCACTTCGAGCTGGGTGGAGACAAGAAGAGGAAGGGACAGATGATCCAGTTCTAGGCTGGCTAATAAATAAGTTCAACTATTTGCTGGTTTCATTTCACATCATATTAGTTTGAAATTGCACAAATGGATAGTAAATAGCTAAATGCTTTTGACCATAGGATGTATTAGTGATTTTCTAGAATTTGCATTTTAATGGTAGAGATGTTGATATTATTATATTCTTGGTGTGTTACCCAAGTTCTTAGTTTTTAATTTTGCTGTAATACAAAATTGACCATCTACTAAATTTCTGTAGTTATTCTCTTCTCATGTCTTAGGTTAGGTAACAGGCTATTGAATTATTAGTAGGTAATAGAGAAAAAAATCTAGTGCCCAAAATTTTTAATGGGTGTTTTGTAAGAAAACAAACAACTTGTAAATATTCATTTATTTATAATCTGCTCAAAAATATCAGGGTCTAACCCTTCCATAGATACTTTCAGCTTCACAGCCTGCAAAGGCACACCGACCTGGACCATCTTGATAAACCTGTCGTATTCGGGCCTAGTCTGTGGTGGGCTCTGTTCAGTCTCTTGAGTTTCTGGTGAAGGCTCTGGCTCTACATTCTCTGGTTTGGAATCTGAAGAAGAGTCTTCTGGTGGTTTTTCAACCTCCTTTACACTGTTAACTTCGGGTATTGAGGATAACTGCAAAGTTAAAGAAAATAAAGTTGACTTGATTTAGGTACTGTTTTGAGAAAAATATGCTCACAATAAAAACAATAACTTACTCTTGCTTCTAACAGCACCATAGCTGCTTCAACTTTCTCCAATTTCCTTTCAAAATGCATTAGTTTTTGTTCGCAGTTTTTCATAAAATTATTTAGGAACTGGACTGTAGTGATAGCAAAATGGTTTACAAAAGCTAATGTTCTTTTCTGTTGAAGTGCGGCGACCTACAATTTTAAAAAGTAGATAATTGAGTATGATTTATATGGGTTGGGTCACGTTGGGTAGAGTTTAGATGGCTATAAATTAAAACGATAAATAGGTATATTGAAAAATACCTTTGATAGATCCAACTTGGTCAAGTCTTTTTGTATCATAGTTTCTTGCATATTTATACACTGGAGGCAGTTCTCTTTTAAAGAGAGAAAACAGTATTTTTTAATTTTATGTCTAGGTACCTATTTTAATAAATAAATATTATACAAAACTTTGTTTTGTTGGAGAAGATAAAAACTCAATAGTTTCACGACGTTCACAACATTGACAAATTTGACAGACAAAAATAAAAATGTCAGAAAGCAGCTGTTCTGCGTTTTGTTCGCAGAACCGTTGAACATTTTTTTAATGGCTCGCGCGGTTTGCTAATGTGCCAATTATTTTTAACTTTGCTGTAGTAAACGAGATTTAAAAAAAACAGAAAACCATAGTGATGATGAAAAAGAATCTGTATTTTTTATGGAACCTAAGTGCGTACCTAGTACCTAGTATTGTGTATCAGTGATTTATCAGTCGTCCGATTACATCTCTATGAACGATGTCACTGATGTCAGTCTGCGAGTCTGTCAATTGTCATTAATGTCAGAATTGTGTCATTGATCATTGATTGAGTAAATTGAGTTGTTTGTGAGTGAAAGATAGTTCGCTCTGCGAATGCGGCTTGGACGAAGGCTCTGCTGACCACATATTTTTTAACTGTCCCAGGGTAGGCGCGTCGTTATACGACTCCCTACCTCAAGACTTTCCCCGTCCTTGCAATCTTAAGTCAATCCTCGGTCTTGTTAACTCCCCTATTTTAGACATTCTATCAAAATTCATCCTAATTAATAAAATAAAACTATAATAAATGTTCACGTCTCCCCCTCTCCACTAACTATTTTGTTTCCCTTCCTCCCTCCTACTACTCACCTTGTTGTCTGTTCTCTTGTTTTTTTGTGATTTTATTATGTTTATACTAACTGTGTTGTCTTATTTGTGCCGTTGTGTTTGTCTGTTTTAGGTGTGCACGCTAGACTATACCTAATAGCACTCAAATCCAAGGTTTATAACTTTTTATACCGTGTAATGGCTATGCTCACGTGACATTGGCAAACGTGGAAACACAATAGCCATAGAGGAGAAGAAGAAGAAGAAGAAGAGTTGTTTGTTGCACAGGTTTGTTGTCTTAGATTAATAAATCTAAGGTTGTCTTTTGTTGTGTTGTGAACTGTTGTGGTCCGCTAGATTTTACAAATATTATCACCAAAAGTTATACAATTCAGTGAAAATGGCTGGAGAAGTGGTTGTTGATGCATTACCGTACATTGACCAAGGATACGATGACCCAGGAGTCCGAGAAGCGGTGAGTAAATAGATAACCTTAAAGCACCATCAATTTTCCTAACGTTTCAAATTTTCTAGAAACGACTCAAAATGTAATTTTTAACGTTCAGGCTCTCGCTATGGTGGAGGAAGAGTGCAGAAGATACAGGCCTACAAAGAATTATTTAGAAAATGCGGGTCCAGAACCAAGTACAGCGTTTGAAACTACTGCCCTTCAGAGGGAAATGGAACGCGTTCAACAGCGCCTGCCCATGGAGCCGCTATCTATGAAGAGGTAACCAAATTATTTGAAACGGGTTGATTTGTAATAAATAATTTTTTAGTTGCAAACTGTTCATCAAACTTTTTTCATCCCTGGGAACTTAACACTCAAATTCAAATTCACTCTTTATTGCACATTAACATAAATCTTGATGTCTTCGTAATTATTATGAGAATATTTCTAATAAAATTATTGTAGTTTATAATAAACCATTGTAATTTTCAGATATGAGTTACCACCACCGCCCGCTGGACGTTTAGGTGAGCCGGCAGCTTGGGCTGAGTCCGTAGAGAACTCACATGCACAACTCTCACATCAAGCAATCAGAGTGTTAAACTTAGAACTACAGTTAAGCTATGGGTCAGAAGCATGGAGATCATACCTTAACACGTTGCAAGCTTTGGTCACGAGATCCCAGAATGTTCATACACAACTCAGGTAAGGTTATTGGAACAAAGAAACAGATTTCAGCATTTCGAACCTGATTTTATCTCTTCTGTATTTGGGTCTCATAATAGTAACCAATACTTTTACTTTACTAACTTTTATGAAACTAAATTTATTATAATTTGAAACAACTCAAAATAAGGTTGTTGCTTATCTGTACTAAAATCCTTTACTGTAGTAAAATCAATTCAAACCTTTATTGCTCCAATTTTTTCCATTTTATGTTTCCACTTTATTGCTCCAATTTTTTCCATTTTATGGTGGTTGTTCTAAATTCTTATGGTGATTTATTGAAATAATTTAAAACTCAGTACTTATCTCCTTTTGGGAATTAGTCTACTCTTAGTCAAAACAAAAAAAATATTTTCTTTATTTTTTGAATACATATTTCTGTTCATGCAAAGACATGTGAAGTGTGCAGCAAAATAAACATTTTACTAATACACTTTCCTTGATACATTTCAGGAAACAGATAGCAGGCGTGAACTGGGAGCGCAAGCGTTCGCAGACGGCGAGCGGCGCGCGGCTGCGGGCGCTGCGGCGGCGCTGGGCGCACCTCGTGTCCGACAACTACCGCCTCGAGCGCGCGCTCATGCAGCTCGAGATACAGCTGCAAAAGGTACGCTATGACCACTCCAACCGATCTACCGTCCTCGCCGGCGAGGACTCGCGCCGCGGTCCCCTTCGACCCGTCCCTTTTTCTCGCGGTATCGGCACGTGCCGGGCCGCTTCTCTCCCCAAACCTACGTTAGGCTACCGTCCCCCAGCAACGCCCTAGGCCGAGGTCCGAGCCCCACTCGGGGGCGCCCTTAGGCTCGTTGCTTAAATTTTGAGGTTGAGAGCCATCTGCGCTCACCTATTGTCCGGTGAAGCTGAAAAAGCCGCTCACGGCTATCAGCATAGTCCGATGTGTAAGGTGATGAATTTTCTTGCGCTGCTTCTTCTCAACATGGGCCCATTTATTGTCCTGAAGCAGTGGTGGGGTTAAAGTAATACTCAGACAATACATGTAAAAGCGCTTTTTAAAATCCTATTTGAAGATAATAAAATGGTTTTATGACTAAAAAGTCATAAAACTATAATGCATTACAGGCCCTGAAGTTTTAATAATTAATCTTGATTTCAGGCTCAAGGACAAGCCCCCATTGACGACAATGAACCAGCAGATTTGGAGGCGGTCAAGATGTTACCAGACAAACTCAACTCGGAGTCTGAGAAGGAAGTGCAGAAAAAGATTGAAGATATGTTTGCTGATTAGATTTAAGACATTGTAGAATAAGTTATGAGAATATAATTTATAATAATTAATTTTATTGTTATTTTACTATTTCTCTATCCTTAAACCCGATTACGTGAATAGTTGTTGGATGTTACTTTATATCTATGCATTTTCTGTCTGTTTTCTGTTTATGATGTTCGAGGCTGCAAAAACATAAACAGACGACGACAACTTCCAGCCACATTTGAGGGTTATACGGAAGGAAAATAAAGATTTATTGCACCCTAATGGATGAAAGCTGCACAACCTAGTCTTGAGGACCTTAGAGTTGAGGACAGTCATAAAAAAAAGTATAAATCAATGCAGAAACCAAACGCATCAGTTTTGGTTCGATTGTCATTTGTCGTCATCTGTCAATTTTTATTTGAAAATGGCGGACGATGCATCAAGCAGTAGCGGCTGTGCCGGTAATTTAGTGGATAACTCAATAAATCAGGATGAATTGATTATGAAACAGCAACGGGAGATAGAAAAAGAGGTAATCTTTGAAATACACTTGGTATCAAAGTCAGCCGAGGGCTGTAATTTTTAGAAAAAATAAAATCATACATGACGTGATGTTTGTGTTTGTTTTTCAGATATCAGAGTCGATACCGCTTGTTGGGGAACTCGAAGCCTTATCATCATTAGAAAAAGAATACAATGAGGACCCAGTGTATCTTCTAAAAGTAAAAGATCTGGCTTCTAAGTATAAGTATATGAGGAGAACGCGGCCTGACGGTAACTGCTTTTTCCGGGCATTTTCGTACGCATACTTAGAGTATCTTCTCACAGATAAGGCCGAGTATGAAAAGTTTTTTGAAATAGCAAAGAACTCCAAAGAAATCCTCCTAGCGTTAGGCTTCTCTCAATTCACAGTGGAAGACTTTTACGAGACAGTAAGTTTATTTTTTAGGTTATGTTTTTTGTTTCACTTGCATGATTTGAATTGCTAATTGAGTTGTGATGGTTATTTTGAGAGAACAAATCTTTGTTTTATTACCTACATTTTTGTTCGTGCAGATGTTCAGCTCTGATAGGACAATGTCAATAGTTGATACACATAGATTACAGGATAGCAATGTTGATAATGTATTACTCTATTGTGTAATATTTATTAGTTAGAGCAATTCTACTATTGTAACTCAATACAAAAATCTATATAGTCGGCCGTTTAGTGTAGTGGTTCGAAACGGACTACTATTCCGGAGGTAGCGGGTTCGATTCCCACACAGTACAAACATTTATGTGCATGAACATATTTGTTTGTATTGGACTGGGTGTTTTCTATGTATAATAAGTATGTATTTACAAAAAAAAGTATTTAAGTATGTTTATATCTGTTGTCTAGTACCCATAGTACAAGCTTTGCTTAGTTTGGGACTAGAAGCGCAGTGTAAAATGTCCCAAGGATATTTATTTTTATTTTATTTTATATTGGGCTTAATTTTGTAGTTTATGGAAGTTGTCCAACGGGTCGGAGAGCAGGCCGGGGGCTCCCCGGACGGCATGGAGCCGATCCGCGCCGAGCTCCACGACAAGTTCAACAAGCAGGGCTATTCCGACTACATTGTGGTGTACCTGCGCCTCGTCACTTCCGGCCAGCTGCAAACCCAACATGACTTCTACCAGAACTTTATAGAGGGGCCCCGGACTGTGACTGAATTTTGTAGGCAGGTGAGAAATTATCTAATATGTTTGGAAATAACCTACTTATTTTGTTTCATGCATTGCTGAATACAACATTATTATAATATTGTAAACACACACATATGGGGCACATAGCTCGTAGAGACGATGGCCGTTGGGGCAGGAAAGTTCTCGAGTGGCGACCACGGGCTGGAAGACGTAGCGTGGGCAGGCCTCCTACTAGGTGGACCGACGATCTGGTAAAGGTCGCGGGAAGAGCCTGGATGCGGGCAGCGCAGGACCGTTCATTGTGGAAAACCTTGGGGGAGGCCTTTGTCCAGCAGTGGACGTCATTTGGCTGAAAAGAAAGAAAGAAAGAAATAATATTGTAAACTACCTTGTAATCCAGTAATAAAGGCTTATATTATTATTGCTGAATAAATCTTTGTCTTGAATATGTTTGTCCTCCATGGTTAAAACTCATAAAACTCATTTATTTTTGCAAGTAGGCTTTTAAAAAGCACTTTTACTAGTGTTAGCTAGTAGTCCCTCATTTTTACCCGACTACGGCAAAGCCAAAGGAGGGTTATGATTTTGACAGGCTATGTATGTATGTATGTATGTATGTATGTTCATGTGTTCCCTCGTAACTTCTAAACTACTTATCAGATCAGAACTTCTCCGATACCTTCGCGAAGTGCGACTTACGTTTTCTAGAGAACATGCAAATTGTACGTTAGACTAACCTACCTACCGTAGCACTTACACAACGTGTGACTACGCCTTTCCAAACATGAAAATTACTATGCAACTACATTAGGAAATTTGTTCAGTTCAGTATTCTGAAAATCTTGTTTTATACTTTTTCAGCGTCGTTTTTTGTCGTAGTTGGGTTTTAGTTTTTTTATATAACTTAAGAAACTAGGATTTTTATAGTATAGAAATCAATTAAGTGATTGCATACTTACCAGGCTGCTACCAACCGGGCAACATGGAAAGCATGGGGGAGGCCTATGTTCAGCAGTGGACGTCCTATGGTTGAGATGATGATGATGATACTTACCAGATGTTTTGATCTACGAATTTTGTTACTTTGTAGGAAGTGGAGCCAATGTACAAGGAGTCGGACCACATCCACATAATAGCCCTCAGCAACGCGCTTAATGTCGGCGTGAGGGTGGAGTACATGGACCGTGGAGACGGCAGCCAGGTAAACCAACAATTAGTGTTCCCGGGGCCTATAGGCTTTTAGGCCTAAAATTAAGCCTATTTAGTTCTTTTTTTGGCCATGATAGACTACTAGGCTTTTAAAAGGCTACTCATTATAAAAAGCCTATAGGTTTTAAAAAAACCTGTAGGCCTAAAATAGCCTTTTAGGCTTTATTTCCGACTAAAGTCTTTTTCGAGTAGTAGGCTTATTATAAGGCTATAGCCATTATTCAGGCTATGGCTTCGTATGAATTAAACAAAGTATTTTTGTATTGCATTTATTTTCTAATTAAATAAAAACGTTATGCAAAATATACATAATAATATAATTTCTTTTTTTATATATATTTTTTTATAAAATTTAACTTATTTCTTGCTTTTTAGTTAACTAATTATTACCTTGATGTTACCACCGAAGGTAGGCAGTACATTGAGACCATATTCTTCATGTCTAGTGTAAAATAATATTCCCTACAAAATACAGGTTACCATATCGGCAACCTAAAAAGACCCCCACCTTAAAAACATGAAAGAATACAACTATTGGTCTATTTGTACCTATAATATTTAAATAATTATCCTCCAACTCCTAAGCATTAAGTAGGTAGTTTTACCTTCTATCATCAGCTCATCAATAATTATGAGACCATGATTAATTCCAGGAGCGAATACTTGAATAACTTAAAAAGTTTGAACGATATACGTGCCTATAAAATTTGAGGGTTGCCCTCGATTTCCCTAGGATCCCATCATCAGATCCTGACTTGGTAACAATGGGACCACCTCAGAAGTGTACCCTATCGAACAAAAAAATAATTTTGAAAATTGGTCCACAAAATTGACGGAGTAATCGGTGAACATACATAGAAAAAAAATACATACAGTCGAATATAACCTCTTCCTTTTTTGAAGTCGGTTAAAAATAAATAAAATAGACCTAGCCTAAAGGACTAAAAACCTTTATAGGCTTTTTAGCCTTTCAAGCCTTTTAAATATGCGCCTAGCCTACAAAAAGGCTAAAAGCCTATAGTAATCGGGTGGACAAAAAAAAGGCTATGAAAAAGGCCTAGCCTAAAGGCCTAAAAGACTTTTTAGGCTTTTTTCCCGCTGTAGCCCCTAATTCATAGGCTAGCCTTAAAAAAAAGCCTAAAAGCCTATAGGCCTCGGGAACACTACCAACAATCCCTATTTATCCTACTTCCTATTCCTATACTTATTATAAATGCGAAAGTTTGTGTGGATGTCTGGATGTTTCTTACTCTTTCACGCAAAAACTACTGACCTGATTTTGATGAAACTTTACAGTATTATTGTTTATAGCCCAGCAAAAGCTAGTATTTGTTATGTTTTTATCACAAAAATGATCAGATAATAATATTTATAATGAAAATTGAATAATGATCATGCCTTCATGATCATTACACTTATGATAAGTTACTTTATGTGCTAATCTATATCTATGTGTAGAAAAATTAATGTTTACATGGTTTTCCTATGTAAATGTAGGTAGCAGCATTATATCAGACTCCTGCTCTGAGACAACAGTTTCTTGTAAGAAGTAGTAGGGTTAGTTAAATTGGAATGTGCTTTATAAAGCACTTATTTATTTATTTTAACTTATATGCACATAGAACTGTATACATAAGGGACTTAATGCTTTTTGGCATATTTCTAAATTTGACAAAGCTCACAATCGGCTGCGGCTGAGCTCCTAGCAAAACTCATTATACGTATGACACGTAAATACTCCTGAATGGAAATTCTGGGCACTCATCGGAATGGCTACAATCTCGCCAAACGAACAGACTCCCTCCAGTCAACCTTAGGGCCAAACTGAAAATAAAGTAGGCGGTAGACTGCAGATCTCTAAACAGGAGTTGCAGCAGTGGGAACATAGGAAGTCTAAACTAACCGCCTCTGTGGTCTAGTGGTAAGACCACCTGCTTCAGACGCAGAGTTCCCGGGTTCGATTCCCAGTGGGGGCAGATTTTTCTGTTCGGTGTGGTTGATGGTAGGGCTTTTCTAAGTCCGCATGGCTAGCTACCATTGTTGTGTTTCGGCAGTTAGAGGTAAGATAGCCAGTTCCTCCGTGGTCGAGGATTCCGGGTGAAGCTCGCTTCCACCTTCGGCCTGATAGTCACTTACCATCAGGTGAGATACAGGCCAAGAGCTTCCTCGTTGTGGATAAAAAAAAAAGTAGTAACAGTTATTATCTGTGCGCAGGTGATCGCGCACGTGTTCCCCGAAGGCGCCAAGCCGCTGGTGCAGCTTCTGTACCGGCCCGGCCACTACGACATCCTGTACGCGTGAAGCCCGACCAACGTTACAACTACAATAAACTTATTACCACTCCGCATGAGTTTTATTTGAAGGTTTAGGCTGTTGCACCATCTTTCTTTAACTTTGACAAACGTCAATAATTTAATCCAACTCCATAGCCATACAAAAAGCACCGGTTATTGTTAATGTTATGGTTTAAATAAGGTGGTGCAACTCAGCTTTACAATTGATTTGAATTTTGAAATATGTTGTTTAATGACTTATTATATATGGTTTTGTGTATATGAAAATTTGGTATTGGTCAGGGTGGGGTTTAAGTTTTTAAACTAGCTTTTGCCCATCCTAGCTGTTTGTGTTAAATGACCAAGGAAATGTAAATAACAAGGTACTGCTGACATATAGGAGTGACTATGTTGTAGCACAATACATAATATACATAATAATTACTTAATTTACATTGATCTGCATAATAAGAATCTATCTCATGCAGATCAACGTGAAACTGAACAAATAAAATCCATAATAAGGTACCAAAGAATATATTTAGTCAGTGTTAAACGTCATGAACTTCTATGAGAAGGTCTACATACATTAAAATTCAACACTAAGCAAAGGAATGCAATAATCAACCGAATAATAAAAAAAGTAGTTCTTAAACTAAAATCTCATCTGCAGAAGTAGACGCCATCGGGCTCGCGTTTCGGCTTCATGCCCGCAAAGAAAGCCTTAATGTCCTCTTCTTTCACTACTTCCTTTCGGTCTTTGAAACTCTTCAGGAAGTCCAACAGTTTGTCCCTCATTTTATTGTATTCAGTCAAAGCATTTATTTGCTGGATTCTGTCCAAAGATGATAAGGCTTCTAGACCTCTCTCATACTGTGATGAGGCAGACCCATCAGTCCTCTGTTTGCCTAATGCTTCATACTCTGTCACAGTATCTTCCAAATCAGTCAGGAACAGGACCGAAAGATCTTTGTACATTGAGATGCATTCGCCGCAAGTGCAAAGCTTTTGGCGGAAATTCGATGGCCAGAATGTGGCACCTTTGAATATTCGTTTCACTCCCTTTGGTCTCAAACAGCTGCTCTCTTCTTCTAATTTAGGTTTCTTTATAGCTACCTCTTCAGATTCTTCAGTTGAGTACTTTCTTTTACTGTCCTTTGTAGTGTCTGTTGTTGTGCCATCAATTTCATTGCTTACCTCATCAGTAAGTCTAGAAACATCATTTTCCATAGTACCATTTTGAATATTATCAGTTGTTTCTGACTTTAAGTCATTATCGGTGGTAGTATTGGCATCCTTTTCTTCATTCATGTCTACATCACTGGTATTAATCTCAGCATTGTCTTCTTTGCTTGCTTCTTCTACATTCAATTCAGATTCTACATTATCTGGTGTTGCATCAGTGGTAATACTGTCTTCATTCTTAGATTCAGTCTTATTTTCATCATTTTTAGTGCTATCATTTGATTGAGTTTGCTCATCAAACTTATCTGTTTGTTCTACATTACCAAGTTCACTTTCAAGTTTCTCTATGCTTTCTATGATAGAATTTTCATTACTTTCTCTTTTTTCTTCAGAATCCTGTGCTAAATTTGTTTCCAATTTTTCTTCTGCCTGAGGTGCTTCTTCCATGTTTTCTTCATTCTTTGTTTCATCATCCTTTTCAGGAATGTCATTAGTAATACTATCAATGTTTGGTTCATTGTTTTCTGATGCATTAGCAGCAGTCTCTGCTATATCATCATTTTCAGATTGCTTTTGTTCTTGTGGTTCATATTGCTTTTCATTAGACTCTTCTGTATTATCTTTTTCTGTGTCTTCCTTAATACTATTGGCTGCATCAGGCACTGGCATATCCATTTTATTTTCATCATTTCCATCCAAAGCTGTAGATTCTTTACTATCTTCAGCCTCTTTACTTTCACTATCTGTGGTGGACTCGACAATATTTTTATCTTTTTCTGTCATCTCAATATCATTCACTGTATTATTTTCTTTTTCATTAGAAAACTCAGTAGATTCTAGTGCTCCATTAATTTTTGGTATATTATTTTCAGCAGACTCGTCAGCTGTAGGTGCTTCAGATTTACTGACTGATGTTATGTCTACTTCTGCAGTTTCGTTATTAACTGCTATGTCACTGTAATCATGCAAAAATTCATTTTTCTCCATACAATCCTTGCAAATCATTTCAGCATATTGCTCGGAAGGAAGAGTTGCTTCCAGATGAGCTGCATGGAGCCAATCTTCGCAGATGATGCATTGTATCATTTCATCTTCAAAAGCAGCCTCAGGATCAGGGTATGGCCTGTGACAGGTGCAATAGAGACCACTGAAGTTCTGATTGTAGCAGTTATCTTCATTTAGATCCAGCTTGTTTGTTGTGTATTGACAGGGATGACCATTGAATTTTGGGTTGCCACAATCACAGCGGAAATTACGTTTTGTATACAATTCAATAAGTTCATGGTTTTCATGGCAGTTGAGGCTGCATGCGAGGCAGACACCGGCTCGCTTTGTTGGGTCAGTTTTGGCATCAGAACAGCAGGTGAGGCAGGCATACAGAGCTTGTCTTTTAATGTAACCCTGAAACAAGTAAATAGATTTATGACAAACAAATAGCTTAAAACAATGCAATTACCAGACTGTTAAGATTTAACTTTCCAATAGTGTCCATTAACTTAAAGTTTTGTAAGACCTCATCCTCTATAATATCTTTCTTTTAATTTTAAGCTTTTGAAAGTCATGCAAAAGTTTTAAAGTAATTTTGTATTTATTTCATTTAATAAATATTAAAAATTCTGTTTCTTTCAATTAGTTATTTGCTATTGACATAGCCAAATCAATACATTATAAAATCTTACAGTATTTAATGGAGATAATTGATATTTGAGACAATTTTTAAGGAGATCCATTGTACAACGTAATAGGATGATAACCCCAAAATACGTACGTAATTTTGCAAAGAAAATCAACGTTGACTCAGTTTCATAGACGGCATTTTAGAAGGAAATGATCGGGAAACATGTAGGAGATAAAATAACTTCAAAATGATTGGATTTAGTATATTTTTTTCGACATTAATGCAAATTATCCAATACTACATTTCGCCAGCCATTTTGGACAAGATTCTGTTACGAAAGATAAAGTAATTGCTTGAAATACCTTAGGGAAAGTGCAATTTTTTTCGTCCGATGCTCCGAGGACCGCGTTAGCGTCTTCTTCGAACTCTTGCTGTTCCTGAAGAACGTCCATCATCGTCACAACTTTTTCACCATCACACTCTGCCATGTCGGCGTCCTCTGTTAGGGTTACGCCGTTTGACGACATGTTAATACTTTCAGTAGCAAAAATATTGTGATAAAAGGCTAATCTTTAAACAAAGAATGAATGAATTTACAGGCTTTAGGGACAAAAGCCGGTTACAAATGGGCGCGATTTTCGCTTCGCGAACATCCCACAAAAACGAAACGACCATAGAGAAAAGTAATCATAGAGAAAAGTAATACATAGGAAACGACAGCTGTGAAGAAGAGAGACAAGAAATGCAAGTTAGAGTGAAAAAGCGATATGTGATCATTGATAATACAAGTTTCTATAGATAGAGCACTTTTGACTTGTTGTACAAAAAAAGGTTGCAATGGAATTTTTAAAAAATATAATGGAATTATTGTGACTAGGTATTTGCAAAAAAATATTGTTCGGCTTGTAGCGAAATATCATCGTGTGGTTTGCAACACTGCTTTCGATATCCAACAAGAAAAACTCTCGGGAAACCGCGGGAAACGAGCGTGTCGGGCACGTTTTTAGTGTACCGTAGCCAAATGGCAAAAAACGGAACCCTTATAAATTCGTCATGTCTGTCTGTCTGTCCGTCCCTCCGTATGTCACTCAGCCACTTTTTTCCGAAACCACAGAATAAGTAATAGTACAGGTACAGAAGGATTACTCCGCAAGACGATTTAAATAAATGCGAGTCTTGCTGCGACGCGATACAGTGGAATTCAGCTCGCACAGCACTACGTACCTACAATTTTATTCACCTACAAGTTTTGTCTCTTTCTATCGTGTGCCTCTGAACTCTTCTTACGCTGTTAGGGTTGCTGTCTAGTGAAATAATAATTAATCTACTTATTTTTAATGAGATACGTATGTAGGTAAGTATGCATTCATTATGGAAAACCATGGAAGAGGCCTTTGTCCAGCAGTGGACGTCATTTGGCTGAAACGAACGAACGCATTCTGAGCAGTAGTCATAGTAGGTTAGGTTCCTATACTATCCTAAGAATTATTGATTACCTACATGGCCAACATACCTTTCAGCATCTTTGGGAAGCGAAAAAAAAAGATAAATCCGGTAGATTTATTTTCGAATTTAAACACCCGAACGCCGCACAATATTTCTTTCTCTTTATGTCCATTTTTAAATAATACTTCGATCATAGAATTATAATCATACTACAACGCACGTCAGCGTCCTGACGGGCGCGCGCGTGACACTCGACTGATATAATACCCGCCGGCGGGGCGCTTCGCTGTAGGTAATTATCGGATGTACCGCGCGGAGTGAGCCAGGCCTGCCGAAACTATAAGAGCTATACTGTTGAAAACCCATACGTATAGGTCTTCAAAAATGATATTGAGGTTTCTATATTTTTTTTCTAAATTGAATAGTTTACGTGAGAGACGCTTCCAAAGTGGTAAAATGTGTGTGCCCCCCTGTAACATCTAAAATAAGGTACCTTGGCTGTATCAAGTAACCCCCGCTCAAACTCCAACTAGTGATTCTACTAAAAATAATACAAACCCTGTGATTGCTTCTGCTGTACCGACAGTACCGACCTCAACTCACACTCCTATTTGATCGCCAAATGTATAAAAATACTGATTCTGCACCTTATGGTAATCCATGTACAAAAGACTTACCTAACTCATCAGAAGATAGATTAGATAGATTCTGCACCATAAGGTAGTCCATGTACACAGGGCCGGATCTACCATATGGCTTTTTGGGCTTCAGCCCAGGGCCCCGTGGATTCAAAGGCCCCCAGTTAAATCAAATCCAATATTTTACTGTCTCATTTTTTTCTATACTTTAAGTAATTAAGTTGGCCCCTAAGTAGTTAGCCCAGGGCCCCCTAAACTCACGGTCCGACCCTGCATGTACAAAAGACTTAACTCACCAGAAGTTGCTGGCTGGTGGATAGAGGTCGCGCTACATCAACATTCGCGCTACCTACTTAGCGAGTTAAGCAAGCATGTTCAGTGTGCATTTCTATTGTTTTGAAAATTAATTATAGTGTTTGAATTTGATTTTGCGTTATGTTCTTTTTTTTTTTTTTTCTCACTATTTCATAACGGGAAGTATAATGGGTATGCCTTTGCCTTCTCATGTAAACGGAACGGAAAAACTATGACAAAAAACTTGCTTCAGGCTACCTTCAGAAAAATAATTTCTTGATCGGTGAAAATGGAGGAGCGCATACGCAACTACAACTACATTGGTTTTCAAATTACGATAGTCATAAAACGCGTAATCGCTAACCGCCGCGGTAGATCTAGACGGTTTTAATTGTATTTAACACGAGAAACGAAGAATAGAGCAATGGTGCAAGGTAGGTAACTAGACTTATGGAATTTTAAAATAACTGATCTCATTCCTTTCATGTTGCGTGCACTGGAATATTCGATTAAGTCCAATTATTTTGTTGCAGATTTCAACCAAGCAGTTGATGGTGCGTTAGTGACTTGTAATGGCTGATTGGCGATATTAACAAGGTATAATTTAATATGTAGTGCAAATCGTCCTATCTACCTACTTATTTTTTTTTGTCTTCTTTGCGTTGCTTTTGTATAATGTGTGTGTATGTTGAGGTTAACTTTTGAAAATAAGCTTGGGGTCAACATTTATTGAAACTAAAATATTCACGTTAGAACAATAAATTTACAGTAGGAAAGGGACGTCTAATCCAAAATTTTAAGTGATCTAATTCCTTTCAGGTTATATGCTATGGCTTCTTGACTAAGTCTAATTATTTTGTTGCAGCTTGAAAGCTGCACCATCAACAGCTTGTGTGCAGGACTGTTTATTTATCCGGTCACAAAAATATACGGAACGGTTACGAAGACCGGGTAATCGTAGCGGAGAAGGTACACGGAGTGGGCTGTCGACGGACGCGGTGAAAACGATGATGCGGTGGACTGTATACGGTGGCACTCCGGTAGACGGTGTCTCCAGTCGTTGCACACTGAAGTTCGGTGGGTGGATCGTTGACTCGTCTTTGTCGAAGGACGGCGTCGATACGGTGCGCGGTGAAACGTATCCGAAGTCACGAAGCAATAACGGTGTCCGGTTCTGATGCTGAAGTCGTCACTATGATCACTATTCTTCTATCGCGGTGAGAAGTCTTCCTGTAGCTCTTCGGTCGGAGGAGGTTCACTCTTGATCTGCTCGGAGAACTGTCTTGAGTAGAACTGATGACGGATCGGTCCGGCGGCCGGTTTATATACCGCTCCAGCTCGCCTACTAACTAGAAAATCGACGGTTCGCCCGCTTTCTGGAAGACGCGAGTACTTGCTCTAACGCGCGGGACTCGTAAACAAAGTTTTAAGGCATCCGGATATGAGCCTTATTTCTTACGCGATACGGTCGGTTATCGCGGGCGCGCGTGCTTTGAGCCTCAAGCCAAGTCTCAACGCGAGACTCGTGCATTTCTGAGGCGACGGAGTCGTTGTCTTCCTCCTCCGATTCTTCGGCCTGGATGGCGGAGAGACGGGCGCGGGCTAATTTTAATTCCAGGCGAGCTACCTCTTCTTGAGCATTGGCCAATCGACGGGCGCGGTCGGATTTTACGGAGGATGCCCGCGATGACCTCGGTGCTTTTCTATTTTCTGGAGGTTCAAACTGTATCAGTTCCTCCCGGTTGGTTTCGGAGACGGACGTAGGTAAGGCTTGTTCAGCGGCGACTGGCGGCGCTGCGTCAGCCTTGCCCTTCTGTGATCTTGTGACCGGCATAATGTAGTCACAAACGTAGATTTTCCTTCTTCAAGGGCGATTCGGTGTCTTGAAACGGTCTTCAAGTAGGTTGTCAACGACCCGGCTCGATGGACCAGAAAAATGTGCAGGACTGTTTATTTATCCGGTCACAAAAATATACGGAACGGTTACGAAGACCGGGTAATCGTAGCGGAGAAGGTACACGGAGTGGGCTGTCGACGGACGCGGTGAAAACGATGATGCGGTGGACTGTATACGGTGGCACTCCGGTAGACGGTGTCTCCAGTCGTTGCACACTGAAGTTCGGTGGGTGGATCGTTGACTCGTCTTTGTCGAAGGACGGCGTCGATACGGTGCGCGGTGAAACGTATCCGAAGTCACGAAGCAATAACGGTGTCCGGTTCTGATGCTGAAGTCGTCACTATGATCACTATTCTTCTATCGCGGTGAGAAGTCTTCCTGTAGCTCTTCGGTCGGAGGAGGTTCACTCTTGATCTGCTCGGAGAACTGTCTTGAGTAGAACTGATGACGGATCGGTCCGGCGGCCGGTTTATATACCGCTCCAGCTCGCCTACTCAGGGCCGGATTAACCATCTCGGGGCCCCTAGGCACAGCTCGTTTTGGGCCCCCCTTTTTTTGTCGCGGAAAAAATGCTTTGCGCACCGTCGTCCGTCACCACTGCCGGGGGACAGGGTGGTGTGTGGGACTCAAAAGGACGGGGTATACCAACTAAAACCTCCGCGGCGTTCCGTCATCGCCCAAGTGGGGGTGTCGCGAGTGTCCAGCCGTAGCCTTAGACTTCTGCGACACCACCGGCGACAGCTTGCCTACATGGCGGACCCTACACGCCCACCTTGTGGGAGGCCGACGGGAATGGCACGAAACGCCAAGCCGTTTCCGTCAGATGGAGGTGACAAGGGTGCCCCCGCACCCCCGGCCTGCTGGCCGCCACCTGGAGGGAGAGTAGAACGGTCGTACAACCGCCTTCTCCACCCCCTTCTCCGCCTGCGGAGCGATGAGGCGAGAGGATCGTACTTCCGCTCGCGCTCCGCTGCCTCTTTCTGAAGGATGACCTCTTCGTAAAAGGAGGCGACCGCCATCCAGCATCCTTCACTTCCCAGCATGGTGTTGACCAGGCTCGGAAGCGAAAGATCCCGGCCCACGACCGCAGAGAGGACACGGCGCTCCTCCTCCCAGCACAGTGGGGATTCCTCTCGCCCGATCCTATGCAGGTACGAACCGAAGCAGCCATGCCCGGTCAGCACCTGCGCCAGACGGAACGTGAGGAACCCGTGCGGTCGTTCCAACTATTGGTCCAGAACAGGACCAATGGCGTCCAGATTGCGGCGGCCAAACTGCGCGCGAGTCATGTCTTCCTTCCAGCGGTCGATCATGATCTCGCGCTCTTCCTGCCTGACGGCGCCGCGCCGCTCCGGGGCCGGGCGCTTTCCACGCGCCTTCTGGTCTGCCATCCAGTGATAGATGACAGACAAGATTCCAGCTTCTAGCTCCCAATGAGGAGTACCAGCGAGGACGCACGCCGCAGAGTGCCCTACCGTTCGGTAGGTCCTTGCGACTTTCTCCCTCTTGTTGAGTGCGTCCGCCCAGATTGAGGCGCCATACAGCGCCATACTCCTCAGAACGCCGGCATAAAGTCGACGACACCTCGTTTGTGGCCCTCCCAAATTCAGGAGGAGCCAACTCAGTGCGCCGGCTGCCTTGAGGAGGCGTGGCGCTAGCCCGTTGAAATGCGGGCTAAAACGCCACCTCCCGCCAAGCGTGAGGCCCAGATATTTCATCTTTGACGTCAATCCTAACGTCCTCAATCACAATGTGGGCGTCGGGAGGGCCCGGAAAGAAGAGGGCCTCAGTCTTCTCCAGCGCGACTTTCAGGCCGAGGCGTCGTATTCTGCGAGCGACTAATGTGCCGCCCGCCGACGCCAGCCGTGCCGCGGCCCCAAATGTCTTCCCCCGGGCAGTGACCAGAGTGTCATACGCATAGCATATGAAACTCATGCCCGCGAGAAGGACGCCCCGGAGGAGCCAGTTGAAGCCTAGGTTCCACAAGAGTGGACCGAGCACCGAACCCTACGGAACCCCGCTGGCTACGCCGCGCCGCGCCGTTAGAGCTGGCTGTCTCTGTTAACATACAGGACTTCGCGATTCCGTAAGTAATCGGCCAGCAGCGCTCGAAGGTACTGACACTGAGGCACTCTGTGATGTTGAAGTGCCTAGAGTATGGTGGAATGAGGGATGGTATTGAAAGCGTTGGCTATATCGAATAATACAGCCAACACACCCTCAGTCACCCCTCTCCCTAGCCTTCGCAGTGAGGCTTTTTAGCCTCTGAAGGGTGTCGACGGTCGACCTGTCACGTAAACCAAAGCAGTAGGTAATGCCAACGTTACGAAAATGAATTAGGTTCCACAACATCGAAATAATTATGACGATTGAATGTGTAAACCAAAATAAGACAAAGTTTTAAGGTGGTTTGAGTTTTGTTACATAAAATTGATCTTTAACATTTTTTTTATTTTTTTAATCGGGAGTGCTGGGCCCCTGGTCATAGTGGGCCCCTAGGCACTGGCCTAAAGTGCCTTATGGATAATACGGCACTGCGCCTACTAACTAGAAAATCGACGGTTCGCCCGCTTTCTGGAAGACGCGAGTACTTGCTCTAACGCGCGGGACTCGTAAACAAAGTTTTAAGGCGTCCGGATATGAGCCTTATTTCTTACGCGATACGGTCGGTTATCGCGGGCGCGCGTGCTATTGCTGTCTTTTGCGCGCTCGCGCTGTCTCTTTCTTTTCAAGTACTTGCCGCGCGTCGATCATTTAATACATATCTATAGCTATAATAAGCGCGTATATGTATTGGCCGCGGTTTCTTTATGTTTTTTTTAGGGTTCTGTGGGAAGAATTCGTAGTCGTCGTGAACAGCTTGGTTTCAATCTTGATGGTGCGTTGGTGGTGACCATGGCTGATCTTGGCTGATTGGCGAGAATAACAAGGTAAGTACCTACAAATTGTCCTGCTTACCTCTTTGTGTCTACTTTGCGTTGCTTTTATATTGTAGAATCTGTGTGTGTTATGCTTGAATTTAGCAGCTTTTGTGAAGAAGCTTGAGTAGCTTCGTATAACGAAACATTTGTTGAATCTAATATTAGCGTTAGGAAAGGGACATCCACATTCTTAACTGATCTAATTACTTGCACGTTGCATTATATTGGAGCTTTCAACCAAAGTTGTTAATAATGTGTTGGTGACAATGGCTGATTGGTGAGAGTAAAAAGGGTAAGCCAATAATCCCCACTTCTTTAAATCTACAGTAGGAAAGGAACATCCAAATTTTTAACTGATCTAAGTAATTCCTTTTATGTTACATATGTAGGTACATGCTATAGCTTCTTGACTAAGTCTAATTAATTTGTTGTAGATTTCAAGCAAGCTGTTGATGGTGTGTTGGTGACACGGCTGCTTGGCGAGAAATACAAGGTAAGTACTAATTATTACCCTATTTAATTATTTTCGTCTTCTTTGCGTTGCTTTTGTATAATGTGTGTGTTGTGGTTAAGCTTGGATTGAGCAGCTTTTGAAAAGAAGCTTGAGGCCTATTTTCGTACGACGAAACATATTGACACTAAAATATTCACGTTAGAATAATACATTTACAGTAGGAAAGGACGTTCCAATGTTTAATTATTTCACGTCACGTTGCATGCATTTTATATTCTCGACTAAGTCTAATTATTTTGTTGCAGACTTCAACCAAGTTGATGGTGCGTTGGTGACTGGCTGATTGGCGAGATTATCAAGGTAAGTGCCAATTATAGTCCTGCTTACTTTTGTTTGTCGTCTTTGCGTTGCTTTTATATGTAGGTATAAGGTAAGTGCCCCCTACTTCGGTATATTAAGGCTCTTACGACTTTAACATTTTATTTAAAAATAACCAAGAATGATATTAGTATGAAAGCTTTTTTATGCTAAACTTTGGTCCATTGACAGTAAGTTAATACATAATTTATAGTTATATAGTTTGAACTTTTTTTTATATTAATTGTTCTGCGGACCTCTTGTTTGGATCCTGTTTCGTGACAAAATTTTGCTCTGTTTCTAAGTTCGTGAACTCATGTCCCCTATTTCGGGATAAGGTTTTATGCATCCAGTTAGGATATTTTAATAATGATGAAGGATTTAATAAATTTAAAAACGATAATAATAAATTTAGAATAAAATAATTATGTGAAATTGACGATATTACTTACCTGAAATATTCATAAGAAATAATGTGAGTCTAGATAGGTAGGTACGTACCTACGTATAATATTTTGATTTGTTAATTAACAATGTGTGAAAATATTTATATAACCATTAGAAATGTAGGGGGGGGGAAACTTAACCCACCCCCCCCCCTTCGTACCCCTAAAATTTTGATTTGTGATTTCTAGCGATATGTGAAAATATTTATTTATGTGTCAATTAACTATTATCTATCCCATATACAATACAAATAGACAAAGATAAATAAAATAAATCGAAATAAAACCAAAATTATGCTGGTACTATTTATGCTAATTTATCTTAAAATTGGTCATTTATGTGAACTTCGGACTCGTGTTATATAAATTCTAGTGAACGAAACATATACCGAATTTAGGTCATGAGAAACTTAAATAAATGCATTATTTTCTTCATAACTTACATTTAAATTATCATAAATAATTATTTAAAAACCAAGCATCAAAATGTTATCCATAATATCCTTGAATCGGTAGTGTCACGAAATAGGGGACACCCGAAAAATAATATGTACGCTATTTCGTGAGTCAATTAATCGCAATTTTAAAGGAATTCTACGTTTTCATATAACTTTTTTCTAAGCCAAATCAATTGTCAAGGAACACATGAAACCACTATTACAAGTTTTATTCAAATGGACGTTCCTTCGCCTTTTTATAAGCTTAAGAAGTTGGAGCGCTAACCTTACGGTGAGAGCAACCTTTGCAAGCCGCACGGATGTTTTTGGCTCTCTGAGAGTTTGAAGCTTCGTATTGCTCTCATTTTTGACGCCACAATGTTGGTACTTGGTTTTTTGGATAGCTTAAATAATAGAGTTTTTGTAGTAATGAAGAATTTTTATAAATAATATTCCATTTGCTTATTATTTGAGCTAGAAAAAAAACTTACGAACTTACGTACTATCACGAACTAGTAGCCGTTTACCTTAATGTGTGTGTTACGGTTAAGCTTGGATTTAGCAGCTTTTGAAAAAAAGATTGAGGCCTATTTTAGAATAACGAAACATTTATTAAAACTAAAATATTCACGTTACAATAGAATAATAAATCTATAGTAGGAAAGGGACGTCCAAATTTTTTCTGCCATTACCAACGTACAGAAAGCCACCCTCTGGGCTCTTAACTTTGTGAAAGTACGTCATTCCTGGCCAGTACAGGCTCCGCAGGTAGGCCACACTTCCCGACTTCTCTAGGGACAGGCTCCAGCACCCGCTAGGGATATCTTGGTCGATAGAGTCAAGGAAATCCATGCTGTAGTTGTAGTCTTGCCTCGTCAGAAGGTTGGTATTCCAACGCTGCTGTGGCTGTCTGATGTGCAAGTACGACTTTAATTGTTTGGCCTCGGCTCCTGTGAGGCCATAGAAGTTAGGGTTAATGATCACTTGGCCGTCGGGCTGCTTGATGAGCTGCCCCCGCGCGCATATCTCGGCCTCGTCACAAATGTTGCTGATGATGGCAGCGATGCGGCTCTCCTCCTTCATCAGGCGGCATCTTTCTGGATGATTCTCCTCCAGAGATTCGTCGAGTACCTTGATTTTGAGGGAAGGGTCGCCGCGTAAGGGGAAAGTTGTTAGAAGGGACAAGATCTTGTACTTCTTCTTAGGCTTAGGGAGGAGGCCCCAGAACTTAAAGTCAGTGGTGTAGAAGTACTTGCGGTCGGCGAGGGCGTCGTTATTGATGCCGACGGCGATGTGGTAGTCGGCGTCTACCGCATACAACTGCCCCCAGTACTGGATGTGGCTGAAGTGGTTCTCAACTTGGAGCAGGGTCAAAGAGTTCTGGAGCAGCGATATCAGCTCGCTGGTCAGCATCATGCCGTTTACGTTCACGTACTCTCTGTATTCCCACAATTTGTGCACATTCATTATTAGGAAGAAAATTACGTAATCTTTTTTCAGTAAAATAAACACGGTTGCTTTCAAAATTGACAAGTGACAATTTACTTTTATTGAGGTCCTTGCATTTCAAACGTGCAAAGAGATATTTTATAATCATTAATTTTGTCTATGTAGGTATGTATTATATCAATTAATTATTATTTTAATAAATATCCTTACACACAATAACTTTACCAAATTTCATGAAAAATAAGGCGTGAAAGCGTAACAAACAGACAGTGTTACTTTCGCATTTTTAAAATCATGTTGGGAGTGCAAAAAATCAAAATTGTGTAGATTTTACGAGACGTATTCATGATTTACAGGCAACCAATTTGCCCAAGGATATTCCTCATGTGCAAAAAATCCGCAGGGGCTCTCGGTAAACGGAGCTTCGGTCTCGTGTGACAATTACCGACATCAAATATTTGCTGGCCCTCTGTCGGTCGTAATTCGTAACTTGACCGCTGACATATCCAGCGTAAGTTGACCTCTACTATCTAAGGCTTCATACGACGCTTTGGCTTGGGCTACGCTGGATTTTTCGCCTACAACTAGACACGCAATTTGCTTATTTTTCCAGATTACGACTGATCGGGTTGCTTGTTTGCAGACTCGTGGGTGATATTTGGAAGAAAATATTGCGGGTTCAGATGTGTAAAAATAGGGTATCGGATGCCTAGGTGTGAGAGAAAGAGGGTATTTTATGGGCCATTATTGACGTACTGGATGAGACGCACGAAGGAATAAGTACCTACGCACGAAGGAATAAGTACCTACGCACGAAGGAATAAGTACCTACGCACGAAGGAATAAGTTTTTGTTGTCTGTATTTTTTTGTATATTTTTATTGAATTAAAATTAATAGGCAAAGTTAGACCATGTTTTAGGAAAAATCTTTATTGAAATGTTTTTACTACTCGACACAAGATGTCGCTTGACAAAAAAGCACACTTACAATTTTGTTATTTTTTTTTAATTGCGCCCTATTCGATATTAAATTAGTTATTAAATTTTACACATAATATAAATTTTAAAATTATGTATATTTACACGTAAAATTTTTAATAAAATTTAGACATACAATTATTCAAATAGTTTGATGAAGCCGCTCACCGCTAGATGGCGTTAGCTGTTCCAAAATAACATCATATTGCAATAATCATCATCAGTATGCTATTCTTTTTATGTAATATCTAAATTAAAATTAATTAGATTGTATTAGGCAATGTTTATTTATATTTATGGTTGCAGTTAATAACCCGTTAGACCAATTACAATATGTCCTCTAAGGCCCAGTTTTTTGATTCATAGTTAAAATAACAAATTGTTAAATTTTGCTACTAATGGTTAAATATTAACAAAATGTTATCTAATAGTTAAAAAATGTACTAAAAGTCAAGCTAACCATTGTTTGAAAAACATTTTTTTCTGATATTTAACCACTTGTCATTTGACATCTGTCAAATTTGACCATTGGTTATTTTAACTACGAATCAAGAAACCGGGCCTTAGAGTAGTTTAAAATTTTACTTGAAAATCAGCAGTAGATTTACAGCATTTCATTTCATCTAACATTTAAGCAACACATCATTAGATACATTTCAGTTTCTCAATCTTATTTTTTATCATCATAGGTACCTACTTTATTTATATTCTTTATCCTAGCCAATATTGATTTTGCCCACAATAGACACGCACGAATGTTTTATAATCGCGATTATATGCAAATCTATTGAGTTTTTATCATATTTTGAGGGTAGGTGCGTGATTCTGAACAATGAAGTGTGTGATCGAGTGTCGGCGATCCATAGACAAAACATGTCCGTTAGACAAAGCGCGAACACGTGCGACAATTAGCCACTTGTCTATTAATGCAGGGGTGTGTAACCATCGGTTTTTGATTAGAATAAAAATATACTCTTTTATTTTAAAAAGATATGAAAGTTCTCAAAGTAAAGAAACTTAGTTTTTCTTTGTTTCATAGTGGTCTTGCGCTGCTTTTTCTCAGCACTGGCCCATTTATTATCCCGAAGCAGTGGTAGGGTTACTAAATACTGCGACGTGTAAAAGTTTTTTAAAAGCCTACTTGCAAAAATAAAGTGAGTATTATGAGTTTTTATGAGTTATTAGCACACCGGTTCACTTATTTGTAAAAACGGAATTCGAATCCGCGACCTCGTACTTTACTTACATTGGACACCGTCTATGCTTTTTGGTGGGTATACGAAATCCTCTATCATTTCGTTATGCCATGAAACTAGCAATGTGAAATATCCAGGTGGTGTTCGGCTGGTATGGGGAAATTCGGGAATAAAATAATACCTACCTTGTTATGGGAACTTACGTGAATTTATAGTCTTAAATTTTGGTTAAAAACTAAATTTTCTAAAAGCCCTTACAATTCATTCATATGATTGACACAACAGCTTTTTTTAAAAACAATTAAGCTACCAACAAGCATCAAATGTTCTTCGAAAATGTTGTTAACCCTAAGTGCGCGGTGGGGTGCGATTCGGCACGCGCTGGGGAGGCACACGTCAAACCTCTCGTCCTCCCTCCAGGTACGAGAGGCGGATGACGAACCGGCCAGATTGCACCGATAAGGATTTCACTCTGATTGAGAGGGTAATGATGCAAGTAAGGGGAAAGGTTAAGACGACTCGTTTCGTTGAG